CCCCTACCACTTCACTCCTCCCCACCCCCAATTGCAATTCATTTGTTGGGAAAAAAGGGTCATCTGTCCTGAAGAGCTTCCTACAGTCCATACTCTCAACCACTACATTGCTCTGCCTCTGGGGAACTGTGATATGGACTTCTCATTCCATAAGATTTCAGAGAGGGCAGACCTCTAGACCTCAGACCCTAGGCCCACTGGAGCTCACTCACTAACTCCATGAAATTATAAGTAAAAATCTCTACATGTGAATATGTGCATTTTGGGGAGACAGGATCTATAGCTTTCACTGGGTTTTCAAAATGATCCCATGACCCCAAAACAATTAATGATCATTCATTCCAGCCCAGGCTTCTCATTTTAGAGATGAAAAAAACAGAGGCTCAGGAAGGTAAGTCGTCCAAGCTCACACAAATATTCATAACACAGTAAGGACACGAATATGGCTGTCAAGTCCCCCAATCTGATAATTCATTTTCTGTTCCCTGCCGCATACATGAAAGGGGAGAAGGAAGAGAGGTTTGAGATGTGGGATAGGAAAGGAGGTATCAAAGGCATTTCCTTATTGTTTCAAGGTTGCCACTACTTGAATTAATGGATTCACTTCCTGTCTACATTTGTAATCAATATTACTGCCACATCGCTGTCACACTTCTCTTTCTCCATACTGTTAAAAGCCTTATTAGGCCAGAGATGTCTGACAAGCAGGATGCCGAGATCAATGATCCCTCACCTGCTGAAGGAGGAAAATCCTTCCCAGCTGTGGGAGGATTGAGGCACTCCACTGAGAACCAGTCAGTAACTGATGGTTTTTTAATCTCTTTTGGTCTGGGGATTTCTCATCAATAAAATGAGTGGGCTGGATTGTGTCAAGCACTTTCCAAGTTTTTTGACTCTGACCACGATAAGAAATTTGAGTGGGTGTGTATGTATATGTCTTGAAAATTTTCTCACTAAATTATTTTTACCCATACAACATGGGATGCATCCTGATAATTTATATTCTATTTCTTTCTTTTTTTTTTTTTTAAATTCTGATTGGTGTCACAATCCATTTAGTTGATTTTAAGACCTACTAATGGGGATCCACTAGCAGTTTGAAAAATACTTTACCGGGTGATTTCCAAGTCATCATTCATTCATTTACTTGGTCAGTCATTTTACAACTGTTCACTGAGTATTAATGAGGTGCCAGGCACCGTGATGGAAGCTAGGAAATGGCAGTGAACAAAACAATGAACCTATCTCTGAAGCTTACATCCTGTGGAATCTCTAATTCTGTGAAGTAATGTTTGATAGGCTTTTTCAGAGGAAGGGAATTCCAACTGAATCAGCTCAAGTCACAGAATGGGTCTCACTTAAGGGAGGAAAAAGCAGCAGAAACACAAGTTTTCTCAATGCCCTAGCAGGAGCCCAAGGCAAGACTAAAATAGTCTGATTCCAAATTGTGTGATTTTGTTTCAAATGAAGATTTCCTGTGGGTCCTAAATCTGCTCTGGAATCTGCTTGGAAACCACTGTGGACACTTCTCCCGCCTTTTTCCATAGTTTACAAAGATCAAAGTGGTTGACCACGCATTCTTCTTAGAAAAGAGATTCCAGAGACCAAGCAGTGATGAAAATGAATGGCAGAGAGCACCCTGACGGAGGAACACTCCCCTGCAGGGTCTTCTCTCCATATTCCCACGCTAGCCACACCCCAGCCCTTTCAAACCTACAAGTGCATATTAACTGGGTTTGTTTTCCAGAAACCATGCTGTACCATTTTTACCCAGCAGAGGGAAGCAGAGCACCAAGATCACTGCAGAAATAGCCAGGAGACACACGTCCGCTTGGTATTTGTCCTGTGATTTTAGGCACTGAAGAATAAGAATGTCACAGGACTGAAAACAAATTCTGGGTAAAGCCAGATGTGGGCAAAATGCTGAAAAAGGAGACGTTTCTTTTTGGAGACTGTCTGACATCTCCCATCAGGAGTCCCTGGGAGCCCTCATCCACGACGAGGCCCCCTCTTTTGGGCTTTGCCTGCGGGCAGTCTGATCTTTCTATTTTTTCCATTCCTCAAGCTTTGAAACATCCGCCAAGGTCATGCAATGTCTCTGTGGTCTTCTGAGTCCAGGCTTAATGCACAGCCTTCAAACCATAGCACTTTCTGCTTCAGCTGCCAGGGATGGTCACGTTCCAGCTCTCTCTTACATATTCCACAAAGTGGGAAATGGTGAGGACAGACTGAGGTGCAATCTATGCTGAGCGGTGATGGTGCTCAGGGCAAGTTACCCCAGGAAGCACCACTCTGGTATGCGGATTATTTCGAGCTGAAGACAATAAAGACTCAGAAAACTCAGGAAGAATATTTGAGTTTCCCCTCCCAAACTGCCTAAAGAATTTAAAACAAAAGATCTGTTTCAGGAAGGAGTTATTATCATGATGGCTGTAATGATAATGTAAAATAGATGTTACAACAGGAAAGGCAACAAGCCCCTTTTATCAAAACTCTCTCTCCCTGGCCACATTCTCTATAGATGGCCCTGAAAAGAATTGTTAGACAAACATTTGCATTTCTATCTCCATGTGAATTGTCTTATTCCCCTCTGAAATCCCAGACCACTACCCACCCCCAACACCTTCCACCCCTTTAACTACAATACTTTCAGCTTAGACAGAGGGACGAGCTGCTCATTTCTGAGTTTTCTCCCATGTATACATGTTATTAAACTTGGTATTATTTTCTCCTGCTAACCTGTCTTGTTGATTATTTGGCCAGCCATAAGAACCTTAAGGGAAAGGGCAGAGGGGGATTCTCCCTCTTCCTCCGACAGCGGTCACGTTTGGGAGAAATGGGATATAAACTCTTTTCTTACACCAAACCTTCTCAGGGTCCAAGAAGTTTTCCAAAGCCCTGCCTTTTTTTTTCCTCCTCCTTCGCAGACCTGTCCCTGTGCTTTTTAGCACTGATGCAACACTGCCTGGCTTCCCCTTCTTAGACGTGATGGCATTTTTACGAGGCCACAGACAAGAGAAGTTTTCTTCACTATGCATTTCTAGGGTCCGAAAGTAGTTAAAATACACTCTGTTAACCATTTAACTAGTGTGCTCTTCTGGGAAAGAAAGGCATTTGAGCAGAGGGCACTCCTCAAATAAAAACAGATGCCACGATGGACAATAGGCTTACGCGTGACTCACCCTTACCAGCCTCCGTGGGCTCCTTCCCTACCCAGCCCAGGCAACACAGATCCAAGTGCAGCCATGTAGTTAGTCCAGAGGGCTCTTCAAAGTGTATCCTAATGCCATGGATTTACGTTTATTAAGAGAGAGGGGAGGGAGGGATCATATAACTGGTAAGAGTTTAAGGTTATCATGAAGAGTCAGCAAAGATTATAGTCATCAGTGATTCTGGGTACTCATCATCAATGAGGTGGAGGGAAGTGGGAGAAGCATCTTCTCTTCGAAAGTTGAACTTGCCATCTTGAAATATTCTCCCAGTGGCTGGCTTCCACCCTAGGTCAGTGGCTAAGAGATAATGCAATGGACAGATACTTTTAAAGTTTTCAGTAACTTCAACAATTTAGAATCAATTCATTGATTTAAAAAAAAATGTATTCAATGCCTGCATTAAGGTAACATACCAATAGAAAAAGAAAATTCAAAAAGGTAAAAAACATAATAAAATGGACAAGAATGGGAAATAGAAGTAGTAAGGGGGGAGGAAGAGTTAGTAGAAAATAAACTTTGGGCAGAGTGCAGTAGGCAGACAACCAATAACTGCTTCAGATGCCAACAGTGGATTCCCGTCCTGGGCCCCCTGAGCTCCACGCCCACTAGGGAAATCCAACAGGGGGATTTGCTCTGACAAGCAGCGCTAAAACTAAAGCTGCTGTCTGTGTTGGCAGTAAACGACCCACAACACCGAGATCTGCCTTCTGTGTCAGGCTCAGCTACGCTCATGTTCCTAAGCTGGCTCATCAGAAGCAGCTGTAGCAAAAATCAGATTCCTGGGCCCCATTTCAGATCTAACGAATCCAGTGTCGGGGCACCTCGGTTTTGCTTGCTTTTTAAGTTCCTCAGTGCTGATGGATAGCATTTTTATTTCTTCCCTGAAAATGTTTCAGGAACAGCATTACATTTCTTTTAAGTAATAATAATTTAAACAAGTTTTGTAAAAAGCACCAAAGGCGAGAATATCTATGATCCTGACAATATTTCACTTCACTTATTTAGTTCTTTCTTATGACTTATTTCTCTCTTTGAAGGAGATGCGTTTCCTCTTGTGGTGCAGATCTTTTCATGGCAGCTGCAGATAGGTGTAAACTAGAGAGCAGGAGAACTCCGATGAGCACCCTGCAGCTCTTCAGTCAACAAACACTGAGCGTCCTAAGGCCAATATGCAAGGCCCGGCCTACAGGAACTGAGAGGGTGCAGAACTGCAGCGACTCCCCGTAGAATAAAGGGTGAAGGTGGAAAAAAACATAATGGGCCTGTGGGAGCATTAGGGACAAGATGGTTGCATCAGTTCATTGAACATCCTTGAGCCACGGAGATACAACCAGGAATAACCCGCAGACGCTGCCCCCAAAACGCACGGGTCCCGGGCAGGTCACACTTTTAACAGACATCAACCATTCACACTTCAGTGTGAACGGGGACAGGGGCCTTCTTCCCAGAGCCGGGAGAAGCGTGCCTGAGCTCACGGCGCCGCCCGGGCGCGACGAGGACTGGGGTGGGAAGGAAGCTAAGTCCCCTCCACCTCCACTCGTCTAAAGGCGCGCTCAGACCCCAGGACTGCAGTCTTTTCCCTTCACCTCCTCCCGCCCCGCCCACGAGCTCCTCCGTCCCAGCGACTGGAGCGGGGAGGGCGGGGCCAGCCCCGCAACGCCCACTAGCCGCGCCCCTTTCCCGGGGGCCACTTACCGCGAGAACGCGGAGTCCCGCAGGCGGCGCACGCGCAGACTCGTCACGCCTGCGCCTCAGGCCCCGCCCCCTGGCGGGCCCTCCTGATGTTTGGTATTACCATGGAGCTTCAGGGCGCCGGCGGACGCGGCTCGTCGCCCGGGCAACCGCGGAGGACTAAACCCGGCCCAGGTGGCGGCGGCTATAGCGGCTGCGATGGTGTCCAACCCCGTGCATGGCCTGCCCTTTCTCCCGGGCATGTCCTTTAAGGACTCCACGGTGAGGACTTGTCTGCCCAGCCCCCGCCTGTCCCCACGCCCGGGCGGCCTCGGAGGGCTGGCCGCCGGTGCACCTCCATTCTCCTGCACCCGAGATTGTCCTCGCTCCCTTCAAACCCGCGCCCTGCCCCGACCCTGTTCTCTCTTCGCCGCCGCATCTGTCGTCCTCCCCACCCAGCCTCATCCTCTCTCTCCCATCCTTTGCCCACCACTCCATCCCTCTCTAGTGTTTCCACTCCACCCGGGCAGTCTTTTGACCTCTTTCTCGTCCTCCGAGCCGCGTTCTTCCTTACTCCTCTGCTCCTATAGCTCCTGCCTCTGCTCCCTCTAGACCACTTTTCCCCACCTTACTCCCAAGCACTGTCTAGGTCCTCTCCCTAGCTCAGTCTCCCACACCCTACCCCTCTCTGCCCAGCTCCATCCTTAACCCTACCCCCGCCCCCTATCTTCGTCCCCTTCTCCCACTCAGCCTCTCTGCACCTTCATCCTCATTCCCACAACCCCACCTCACTCACTCTCCGGCGGCCCATCGTTCCCACCCCTCCTCCTTCCTCTTCTGACTCCTGGACCCGGTAATCTTTCCCCTTCCCAGCTCCCTTTCCTGCCTTACATATCATTTCCACTCATTCTCTTCTTTCCTGCCAGGTCCTTTCCCGCAGTCTCCGCTCTTCTCGTTTATGCTTCTGCCCAACCCCATCCCTTTTCTGTCCCGCACTTCTGCCTTTTCTACAATCTAGTCCCACTTTCTCCCCATTCTTGTTTTATCTTTTGTCTCAATTGCTGTTTCTCCAAAAGTTAGACTTTCATCGCTTGCCCATCTTCCTCTGAAACCAGCCTTCCCTGCTTTGTAGGAAATAATTACGTCCAGTTCCTTCAACCACGATTGACGAGTTTTTTTTTTCCTTCCCGTAGCTCTCTTCTTTTCGCGCTAACATTTTTGTAAAAGATTCCTGTTTAGATTTTGTTTTGCTCCTGCCCTGCCTTAAGTGTTCTTAATTGTGTTCTCTAGACAAAATGGAAGAGGAAAAAAATGCTTGTTTTTTTTTTCTCCTGACATAGTTTAGCCCTTGACAAAATTATTTAGTATTTGTTTTAATTCTAACGGAGTATTGAAATATATGTTGGAAGATCAGTATTGAGATTCAGTAGGCTGATTATCATAGATGAGGCAATAGTAATTGATATTTATATAGTTTGATAATTTAAATTATAGGTTTCTCTCCATGGTCCTTAGGGTAGGATAAAATACGTAGTCAATTTATCTTCTTTGGGAGAATGAATTGAAATTCAAAGTTTGGGGAGGGAATTTGGATTCTGTATCTCTTCTTCATAGTTATTCCTGTATTAAAACACAGCATCATCGGTTTTTCACTTCAGTAGACTTTTCCGTTTTATGTAATTTAGAAAATGTTGTAGGCACATTTCTGCCCTGTGCAGGAGCAACCTAAGCATTGGGTGGTGGTGAGTGTGGGTTACCCACAAGGCAGGGTTGAGTTGATTTAGGGGTTACAGAGGTGTGGACTGGAAGTGCCAGTCTCTGAGAATATATATTGCTGTACTACAAGTAAGGTGAACTGTGCATTGGACATATTTCGTATTTTATTTATTTATTTTTTGTTAAAGATTTTATGTACTTATCTTTTTCCCCCCAAAGCCCCAGTAGATAGTTGTATGTCATAGCTTCACATCCTTCTAGTTGCTGTATGTGGGACGCAGCCTCAGCATGGCCAGAGAAGCTGTGCGTCGGTGCGCACCCGGGATCCGAACCCGGGCCGCCAGCAGCGGAGCGCGTGCACCCAACCGCTAAACCACAGGTCCGGCCCTCGTATTTTAAATACACTGGCAAGTGCTAACCAATTTGCCTTATTTGTAATTTGAAAATCATGGTCACTGAAAGCTTAGGTATGTATAACTCTCAAGGCATTCAGAAGGTGAACCATAATGACTAAGGGGATGGGGGCCTGAGGTTGCCTTGCCTGGGTGCTCATGAGGGTCCACCAATAAAGATCATATAGCTGAGTGTTGGTAGAGATCTCTGTCTAAAACGAGGAAGGCAAACGAAGCAGCTGATGTTGCTTCTGTCTTTAGAGGTGGAAGAAAAGGAGCTTGAAGTGACCCAGGTTACCCAGTGAAGAAGTCACCTCAGCCCTGATGATTAGTGATGTCAAACACCTTTTCACGTACCTATTGGCCATTTATATGTCTTCTTTGGAAAAATATCTATTTAGTTCCTCTGCCCATTTTTCAATTGAATTGTTTGTGTTTTTTTGCTGTTGGGTCGTATGAGTTCTTTATATATTTTGGATATTAACCCCTTATCAGATATATCATTTGCAAATATTTTCTCCCATTCCATCGGTTGCCTTTTCATTTTGTTGATTGTTTGTTTGTTTGTTTGTTTTGTTTGATGAAGATTGGCCCTGGGCTAACATCTGTTGCCAATCTTCCTCGTTTTTTTTTTCTCCCCAAAGCCCCAGTACATAGTTGTGTATCATAGTTGTAGAGTTGTAGCTCTTCTGTGTGGGACGCCACCTCAGCACGGCTTGATGAGCAGTAAGTAGGTCCACGCCTAGGATCCGAACTGGCGAACCCTGGGCCGCCGAAGTGGAACGTGCCAACTTAACCGCTATGCCACCAGGCTGGCCCCTTGATTATTTGTTTTGCTGTACAGAAGCTTTTTAGTTTGATATAGTCCCACTTATTTATTTTTGCTTTTTTTCATATGCTTTTGATGTCATATCCAAAAAATTGTTGCCGAGAACCGTGTCAAGGAGCTCTTCCCCTATGTTTTCTTCTAAGAGTTTTAGTTTCAGGTTTTATGTTTAAGTCCAATTCATTTTGAGTTAATTTTTGTGAGTGGTATAAGATAGGGGTCCAATTTCATTCTTCTACATGTGATTATCCAGTTTTCCCAGCACCATTTATTGAAGAGACTATCCTTTCCCTGTTGTGTATTTTTAGCTCACTCGTCGAAGATTAGTTGACTGTATATGCAAGAGTTTATTTCTGGCCTCTTGATTGTGTTCCATTGGTCTATGTGTCTATTTTTATGCCAGTACCATACCGTTTTGATTGCTATAGCTTTATAGTATAGTTTGCAATCACGAAGTTTGAGGCCTCCAGCTTTGTTTTTTTTTTTCCCTCAGGATTGCTTTGGCTATTTGGGGTCTTTTGTGGCTCCATACAAATTTTAGGATTTTTTTTTTCTTTTTCTGTGAAAAATGCCATTGGAATTTTGGTGGGATTGCATTGAATCTATAGATGGCTTTGGGTAGTATGGACATTTTAATAATATTAATTCTTCCAGTCAATGAACATGGGATATCTTTCCATTTGTTTGTGTCCTCTTCAATTTCTTTCATCCAAGTCTTGTAGTTTTTGGTGTACAGGTCTTTCACCTCCTGGGTTAAATTTATTCCAAAGTATTTATATTTCCAATGCCATTGTAAATGAGATTGTTTTCTTTATTTCTTTTTCAGATATTTCATTGTTAGGGTATAGAAATGCAACCAATTTCTGTATGTTGATTTTGTATCTTGCACCTTTTCTGAATTTGTTGGTTAGTTCTAACAGTTCTTTGGTGGAGTCTCTAGAGTTTTCTAAATGTAGGATCATATCTGCAAACAAAGAGAGTTTTACTTCTTCTCTTCCTATTTGCATGTCTTTTATTTCTTTTTCTAGCCCTATTGCTCTGGCTAGGAATTCCAGTACTGTGTAGAATAGGAATGGTGACAGTGGGCATCTTTGTCTTATTCCTGATCTTAGAGGAAAAGTTTTCACCCTTTCACCACTGAGTATGATGTTAGCTGTGGGCTTATCATATATGGCCTTTACTATGTTGAGATATGTTCCTTCTGTACTCAATTTGTTGAGAGTTTTGATCATGAATGGATGTTGTATTTTGTCAAATGCTTTTTCTGCATCTATTGAGATGATCATATGATTTTTTTCTTTCATTCTGTTGATATGGTATATCATATTTATTTTATTTTATTGAGGTAACATTGATTTATAACATTATATAAATTTCAGATGTACATCATTTTATTTTGTTTTCTGTGTAGATTACATCATGTTCACCACCCAAAGATTAATTACCATCCATCACCATACACATAGGTATATTACATTTATTGATTCATGTATGTTGAACCATCCTTGCATCTTAGGGATAAATCCCACTTGATCATGATGTATGATCCTTTTAATGAGCTGTGGAATTCAGTTGGCTAATATTTTGTTGATAATTTTTGCATCTATATTCATCAGGGATATTGGTCGGTGATTTTCTTTTCTGGTTGTGTCCTTATCTGGTTTTAATATCAGGGTAATGGTGGCCTCATAAAATGAGTTTGGGAGTATTCCCTCCTCTTCAGTTTTTTGGAAAAGTTTGAGAAGGAGTGGCATTAATTGTTCTTTAAATGTTTGGTAGATTTGACCAGTGAAACTATCTGGTCCTGGGCTTTTCTCTGTTGGGAGGTTTTTGGTTACTGATTCAGTCTCTTTTCTCATTATTGATCTGTGCAGATTTTCTGTTTCTTCATGATTCAGTCTTGGTAGGTTGTATGTTTCTAGGAATTTATCCATTTCTTCTAAGTTATCCAGTTTGTTGGCATATACTTGTTCATAGTAATCTCTCTTGATTCTTTGTATTTCTGTGGTATCAATTGTAATGTCTCCTCTTTCATTTCTGTTTTTTTTTTGAGTCCTCTCTCTTTTTTTCTTAAATAGTCTAGCTAAAGTTTTGTCAATTTTGTTTCTTTTCAAAACACCAGCTCTTAGTTTCATTGATCTTTTATATCATTTTTCTAGTCTATATTTCATTTATTTCTGCTCTGATCTTTGTTATTTTCTTCCTTCTCCTAACTTTAGGCTTAGTTCTTTTTCTAGTTCTTTGAGGTCTGAAGTGCGGTGGTTTATTTAAGGTCTTTCTTGTTTCTTAATGCACTCATTTATTACCTTAAAATTCCCCCTTAGAACTGCTTTTGCAGCATCCTATAGGTTTTCGTATGTTGTGCTTCCATTTTTGTTTGTTTCAAGATTTTTTTTTTCCCTTTTGATTTCTTCTTTGACCTGTTGGTTGTTCACAAGTGTGTTGTTTAATTTTAACTTATTTGTGAATTTTCCAGCTTTATTCCTGTTATTGATATCTGTTTTCATACCACTGTGGTCAGAAAAGATACTTGGTACAAGATTTCAGTCTTATTAAATTTGTTAAGACTTGTTTTGTGACCTATCATATGGTCTATCTTGGAGAATGTTCTGTGTGTACTAGAGAAGAATGTGTATTTTGCTGCTGTTGGATGGATTATTCTATATTTGACTGTTAGGTCTGTTTGATCTAAAGTATGGTTCAAGTTCAGTGTTTCCTTGTTGCTTTTCTATCTGGCTGAGATATCCGTTGTTAAAAGTGGGTACAGAAGTCTCCTTCTATTATTATTTTGTTGTCTGTTTTTCCCTTCTGATCTGTTACTATTTCCTTAATATATTTAGGTGCTGTGATGTTGGGTGCATATATATTATGACTGTTATATCTTCTTGATGAATTGACCCCTTTATCATTATATAATGATCATCTTTGTGTCTTCTTATTGTTTTTGGCTTAAAGTCTATCTTGTCTAATGTAAGTATAGCTACTGCTGCTCTCTTTTTGTTTCCACTTGCATGGAATATCTTTTGCTATCCCTTCACTTTCAGCCTGTGTGTCCTTAAACCTGAAGTGAGTCCCTTGTAAGCAGCATACACTTGGGTCTTGTTTTTTTTAATCCATCCAGCTTGCATTTTGATTGGAGAATTCAATCCATTTACATTTAGAGTAATTATTGATAGATAAAGGACTTCCTAATGCCATCTTATTGTTTTTCTGGCTGTTTTGTAGTTACCTTGTTTCTTTCTTCCTCTCTTGCTGCTTTCCTTTGTGAATAAATTTTCCATAGTGGTATGCTTGGATTCTCTTCTCTTCATCTTTTGTGAAACTACTGTAGGTTTTTCTTTATGGTTACGATGAGGCTTACATAAAACATGTGTGTGTGTGTGTGTGTATTTTACACTGATAACAATTCAAAAACTGGTCTTGTACTCCCCTCCCTGTATGTTTTTTATGTCATCGTTTCCATATTTTAATATTGTGTATCCATTAACAAATTGTTGAAGCTATAGCTGTTTTTATTTTTATTTTTATTTTTTTATTTTTATTTTTATTTTTTTTTATTTTTTTATTTATTTTATTTTTTCCCCCCAAAGCCCCAGTAGATAGTTGTATGTCATAGCTGCACATCCTTCTAGTTGCTGTATGTGGGACTCGGCCTCAGGATGGACGGAGAAGTGGTGCCTCGATGCGCACCCGGGATCCGAACCCGGGCCACCAGCATCGCAGCACGTGCACTTAACCACCAAGCCACAGGGCCGGCCCTGTAGCTGTTTTTAATACTTTGGTCCTTTAAGCTTTACACTAGAGCTAAGTAGTTAACACATCACCGTATTACAGGATTAGGGTGTTCTGAATCTGACTTTATGCTTATGTTTACCAGTGTGTTGTATATTTTCATGTTAATAATTAACACCTTTTTCTTTCAGCTTGAAGAACTTCTTTCAGCATTTCTTGTAGGGCAGGGTTAGTGGTGATGAATTCCTTTAGCTTTTGTTTATTAGGGAAAGTCTTTATCTTGCCTTCATTTCTGAAGGACAGCTTTTCTGGGTAAAGTATTCTTTGTTGGCAGTTTCTTTCTTTCAGCACTTGGAATAGGTCGCCCCATTCTCTCTTGGCCTGCAAGGCCTCTGCTGAGAAATCCGCTGATAGCCTTAGGAGGTTCCCTTGCGTGAGAGAATTTTTTTTTCCTTTTACTGCTTTTAAATTTCTCTCTGTCTTTGATTTTTAGACAGTTTTATTATTATGTGTCTTGGAGAAGATCATTTTGGGTTGAAATCTTGGGGTGACCTGTTAGCTTCATGAACTTGGATGTCCAAATCCCTCCCCAGGTTTCAGAAGTTCTTAGCCATTATTTCTTTAAATAAGCATTCTACTCCTTTCTCCCTCTTTGCTCCTTCTGAGACTTCAATGATACGTACATTATTTCTCTTCTTGGCATTCCGTAAATCCTGTAGGCTTTCTTCATTCCTTTTCCTTTTTGCTTCTCTGCTTGGATAACTTCAATTGATTTGTCTTCTGGCTCACTGATTCTTTCTTCTGCTTGTTCAAGTTTTCTGTTGAAGCTGCTATTGAATTCTTCAATCATTGTATTCTTCAGCTCTAAAATTTCTGTTTGACTCTTTTTTATGTTTTCTATCTCTTTGTTGAACTTCTCTTTTTGTTCTTGTATCATTTTCATGATATCACTAAATTGTTTATCTGTGTTCTCTTGCAGCTCCCTGAGCATCTATAGGACAGTTACTTTGAATTTTTTTATCAAGCAATTCCTGATTCTCCATTTCTTTGGGGCCAGTTACTATAGGTTTACTGTATTCTTTTAGTGGAGTCATGTTTCCCTGATTCTTTGTGATCTCTTGCTTAGGTGTCTTTGCATTTGAAGAAGCATCGCCTCTTCCAGACTCTATAGACTGCCTTCAGTAAGGGAAGACTTTCACTTGTGGGTGGGAGCACGCTGAAGTGTGCTGTGACCCTGGGTCTAGTGGTGCAGGGCACCAAGTATAGCGGTGTGTGGCAGCACTGGGTTGGGGGTGGGGGCCATGAGGTCTCTTCAGCTCAGACTGCTGGGGTCTACAGCATTGACAGCTGTGTGGTCCTTGGCAAGTACTATGTGGAATCCACAGTGATTGCAAGGGCTGTTAAGGTCTTCAGCTGTACCTCCAGTCCAGCGGCTAGGGACCAGGGCAAGCAGTAGTGGTGACTGGAGCCAGTGGCATGCACATATTTGGCTGTAGCGGCCAGCTGCAGCTACCTGTGTAATGACGGGGGCCTATTGCAGACACACTCATAATGGTGGGGGCCAGAACAGGCAGCAAGGGCTGGAGCCAACTATGGGCTCACTGGCAGCTGCAGAGGCCCTGGCTGTCGGTGTGCTCTCCTGTGGCTGCACACTCTCCCCCGGGGCATGCACACTGCAGTGGAGGCCCGTGATGGGGGTTGGGCTGGTTGTGTGCAGTTGCACAGCTGGAGGGGCTAGATCCAAGTGCACACATAGCAGTAGGGGTCAGCCAGGGCGAGGGCATCTATGCTGGTATCTTGCACTTGAGCAGCTGCAAAGGCCTGAGCTGGCTGAGTTCCCAGGCTCTGGGACAAGGGTAGGGGAGGGAGTGAGGAGGGACTCAGGTGGCTGGTGTTGGCAAACATGAATACCTCTAGGTCGAAAGCTGATGAAATCTGCGGGGGGTGTGCGGTGGCTGTGGCTATGATGGCCATTGGCTTTGGGTCAGTGGCAAAATCTGCTGGATTTGTTTGCCGACCAGGTCTCTGTGAACCGCAGTCACTCCCACTAAGTGGCTGCTGCCAGTAGCCCCTGCTTTTCTTCCTTGTTCCCAGCTGGCTTTAGACACCTAAGCTTCGCCCATCTGGGTGGGGTGAAATTGAAGTGGGACCTTCGTGCAGTGCCCCAAAAGACTGGAGAAGAGGGTTGCTCACCCTGCTTTTCCTTTCTGGGCAAGGGGAGCCCTTTCTAGCTGGGAAGTTCCTGTTGGCACTGCACAGTGCTGGCTTGGGGGATGGGATGATGCAAGCCAAGTGAAGCTGTTTTCCTTCTCTCCTTGTGGGATTATTCTCAGATTTTTTGTTTCTTTGAGTGGCTAAAACCTTCTAAAAGTGGCCTCTAGAGCTCTTCCAGAGCTGTTTTTGTTCATGGGTAGCAGTCCAATCATTGATCTTTGTGGAGGGATGAGGAGGCTGGGGTCTCCTATGTCACCATTTTAGTCTCCTCAGCCCTCAAAAATATTTCCTTTCCACTTTTTTAATCTTTTGTTTTTTCCAATTACCAATAAAAGTATGTTCATTGTAAAAAAAACAAAAAAACAAAAAAAAACAAAGCATAATTCAGAAATGTGTAATACAGACAGAGAACATTCTCCAAATCTAATCTCTTTTCATGCACATGTTTGCTTGTAATTATAGTACACATATAATTTTATATGCTGCTTTTTTGGGCCTATTAAATCATGAACATTTTCCCCAGATTGCCACATGGTCTTTAAAACCAATATTTTAATGGCTGCATAATAATCCTTTGAGTAAATTTTCCATCATTTACTCGTATGTTTGTCTTTTGCGTTGTTTCCCATGTTTTACTATTGTAATTAACATTATAATGGTCGGCTTTAGGCGTATTGTTCTTTCTCATAATTTTGGATTATATCCTTAAAATAAAGGATCAGGGGTGGAATTACAGAGTTTAAGACTTTAAATATATAACATCCACTTGCTTTCCAAAGAGTTGTATGAATGTATCAGGGTCACTGTAACAAGAAGGGCCTTTCATTTCAGGTAGAAATTCATTTCACAAAACCAGATCTTCTAGGTTCCATGGTTTGTGATCACCAGATAACATGAAAAACATGGGAAGACTAGTGAAAAATTAAGTGTTTAGATGAGATAATATTTTAGTTTCTCGTGAAAAGTGAGCTGGTAATTCAGTTGGGCATTCTGGAGCGGGGCTCTAAGTTTTGTTTTAAGCTCAGGCCGTTGCTTCCCTCTTTGCTCCTAGCCAAGTGTTTTAGTTTAAAATACAAGAACCGTCTAAGGTGAACTTTTTCATATCAGGTTTGTGATGTTTATAAGCAAAGATTTAAGTTGTAATATTTTTGAGAGTTAGCTTTTTTGCCTGACAAATATTTGTAAAATATTATCGACATACTTCTTTTCTCCTTCAGAAAACTGCATTTCATAGAAGCCAGACACTGAGCTACAGGAACGGCTATGCAGTTGTTCGACGTCCGACAGTTGGGATCGGTGGGGACCGGCTCCAAGTCAACCAGCTGTCCCAGGCTGAGCTGGATGAGCTGGCCAATAAGGCCCCCGTTCTGACATATGGCCAACCAAAGCAGGCCCCACCTGCAGAGTTCATTCCTGCTCACGTGGCTTTTGACAAAAAGGTATCTTCTGGGATTTTAGGGTGCCCCTTGAATTCAGATTTCTGAGAGCCAACTGTTTTGTAGAAAAGTCAACAGAAAACCATAGGTTTTCCATGGTGCTCTGAGGAGAAAATTGTTCAAATGCCTCAACCCTTAGTCACAGACAGCTGAACTCAGGATTGAAAGAGGCTTTCTTTAGTCAGGAAGCCAATTACAGTAAACAATTCCCTATAGACTTCACTGAAAAATTTTCCAAATACATTTAAAGCAAAATTGGATGAATTCTGAATTCTCGAGTTCATATTACTCTATGTTTACTTGCTCTGTGTCTTCTACTTTTTGAAAGTCCTATGTCCTGTATTGATGACAGATCCTAATCTCTAAGAAATGCAGAATGTCATCATGACAACAACTCCATCTGTTGTCAGTTTTCTCCAGGCTGTCCCCACAAGTTTTTGTTTTTCAGGGAACATTTCCGGTTTGGCACCACGTGACCAAAGGGTAGTGGAACGTTTTGTTTGGGTCTCATTTACCCCATGCTTTTGTGATGTGAGTCGCCTTATTTCCCTCTGTTGACATTTCCACATGGTGCTCGATTTTCCTTGTCAAGAAGCCTCCTCTTTTCACTAAGGTGAGGTAGTCCTAACCCTGGCCGTGCAGCAGAATTCCTAGGGGGACTTTTAAGAAACTTAGGTGTCACCCCAACCCTCATCGATTCTAATTTCCACATGATTTTTCTGTATGACTGGGTCTTGAGAACTACTGACCAGTTTTTATAAGTTAGCTTTCTTAATTTGCTCCTTGCCTATTTTCTTTCTCTTTTCATTTTATTATTTTTTTAAATGTCTATACCATTTTCATCCAGCTAGTCAACTTTTATTGAGTACCTATTGAAGCTAAAGGCTAGAAGGTACAAAATAATCTGTTGGTGGAACTATGCCATTTACATTAATAATCACTTAATTTTTAAAATTTTTAAATGTCTCAGGTGGAATCCATATAATCCCCCCTTCCCCATCTCAGTTAATTCATCTGATAGGAACACGTTCGCATATCCATTCATAGGCTGAACCTAAACTTCCACTAAACGGTATCAGTTCCATGATTGAGTGTTTCTTTACCTTTTTCTTGTTTCTCTTGTTTATTCACAGCTGTGACAGGCACTGCAAAATCAGTAGATAAGAGAGAAGGGTGAAAATACAAGACAGGAGTAGGGTAGGCATTTAACAGTTTATCAAGATATAAATCCTGGTAGGTTCAATGTTTACTGAAAAGAATAGCAAATAACTATTATAAGCTAGAAAGTGACAGTAGTGTGTGCCGTGAGAAAGTATTAGTGAAATTCAGAGAGGGAGAAATTGTGCATCAATAGGAAATAGGCTTCCTATCTTTTGTTTTCCTATATTATTTTGTGCTAATTGTTATTACTTAATTTGTACTTTTAAAATATTATTCATAATTCGTTTCTTTAAAGAATAGTGGGCATGAAGAAGAATATTTACATGTTTATTTTCCTATTCATTTTACTTGTATCATCACAATTTCTAGATAAATGATCCTTACCATAGGTAATGAGGCAGAGAGCAGTTAAATGCATGGTTTTGAAACTAAGCTTTTTATTTGCAATAAAGGAATTATGGCTTTTCTGAATTAAATCAGAGTTTAAATTTTTTAGGAATACCCAGAGGTCCACTTAATTGTCAACATATTTGTCCATATTTGGACATTCTTTGTACTGTTCTTCATCCTTAGAATATAACTTCATTTCTTGCACAGGTGATAAAGACCTGGACATCTACTGTGAGTGCCCTTGTCTTTTCTCTTTGCTCACATCTGGTTCTCTTCATCGTCACCCACTGTATTCTGTTTCCCAGGCTAACTGCCCAGTCTGTGTTCCTGATATGGTTCTTCTTTTGTCTTGTTCATCTTTAACTTCCATTTCAAACACTCTAGTGACTACTTCTCTACCTAGGGTCACGTTATCTTGTCTTTAAAAACGTTTCTACCTTGTGGCCCGTTTAAGCAACAGCACTTTGTTCCTCACTCGACTGTCAAATCGCTTACAATCGCTGCCCTCAAGCCCCAAACTACTTTTTCCTAGGTGGACATTGTTGTCCTTTCTGCCAGATCTAGAGAGGTTTTCTTTGCTAGCATTCTCTTGGACCTATTTGCAACATCTGCTGTTGTTGATTCTCCCTTCCTTCTTGACACTCTGCTTTTCCTTTGCTCCCACGCCCCTGCACTCTCTTGGTTTTCCTCTCTCTCTCCATCTGGTTGCTCCTGCTCTGGCCTGCCTTCCTTCTCCCACTTTTTAACTATAAGCATTTCCAAGGTTCTGTTCTTATTCTTTACACCATCTTCTTGAGAGAGCTCACCTACTTTTGTGGTTTCAGGTATCACTTTAAGGTAGACAGCTATCAGTATTTATTTCCAGTTCTGACCTCAGTGAAACTGCAGACCTCTGTCCCCTGCCAGGGTACGTCTTCACCTGATGAGCTGTTGGCACCTTAGGTTCTGTATGTCTCTATCAGCTCATCACCTTTCCCCACAGATCCGCTCTGTCTGTATGGTTCCTCCAGATAATCCAGGCTTGAAACCTGAGCCGTTTTTGACTTTTTCTCCCCTTCGCTCCCCACATTCAGTGAGTTGTCAAGTCAGGTATCTCTCACTTCCATTTCCTCTGCCACTACCATAGTTCAGACAAGCAATATGTCAATTGTTAACGTGTTGCCAACTGTTATATTCGTCTCATGCTTGTTTATTATGCTCATAACAGCTCTGCTGCTTGGTTTAGCCCCCAAAGCACAGTTCTGATTATGTCATTTCTCTGGGAAAATGCCTTCAGATTCTCTTGCCCAGTACAGTAAACGTTAACACTGTCTACCTACCTGCTCAAACCCCAATTTGAAAGTCATCCTTGATTCTTCTTTTCTCTCACAACCCCCATCCAATCTTATTAACAAGCTCTGTCATTTCTACCTCTAAAATATATAATGCGTCTGTCCACTTATTTCCATCTCCACTATTACTATTAATTTATTTTCCATAGAATAGCTATTTATCTTTTAAAAATAAATATCAGATTATGTCGCATACTGACCTAAGACACTTCCGTGACTTTCCCATTTTATGTGGACTAAGGTCCAACTCTACAGGTGCCTCACAGCCCTGCTGGATCTGGGCCTCCCTTCCCCAACCTCGTCTGGAGCCTTTCTTTTCCTCACCCACTGTGTTTCAATCACACTAGATTTATTTTCCTAATTTCCTTGAAATTGTAGCACTTTTTCCTCCTCCTTCAGGGCCTTTGCACATGCTGTTCACCCTCCCTGGAATAGCTTTCCCAATGCCCTTGAGCAGCTGACTCCGTCTCATCTTTCAGGGTGGCTTACATGAAGCTTTTCCTGGCCACCGTTGTAAAGAGGTTCCTCCCCATTGTTCTCTCTGTGGTTTCTTCATAGCCCTGTATTACAGTTTGGACTGCTGACTTGTTTAGTGTTTATCTGCCCCACCTGACTGCATGCCTCATGAGGGCACGGACTCATCTAGTTTATTCTGTGATTGGTGCTCAATAAACATTAGTTGAAAAAATGAGATGAGTCATTACTTAACAAAATTATTGTCAGTGTCACTGCTGAAAAATGACAAGCCGAACATGCAAAACACACACATACACACAGAGTAAAATAAAAAATAATAAAAAGTGTGACTAGGCTTTTTATACTGGTATATGATATGAAAATATTCATCCGGCATCTTCCCCTTCAGTCTTGAAGTCATTGCGAATATTTCCGTGTTTGTTGTGGCATGCTGAGCACTTCTTGGGGGTCAAGAGACCTGGATTCCATTTCTGAGTCTTCTTCCAACTAGTGCTGTGACCTTGGGGAGTCACAATCTCTAGTTTCCTCATCTCTAACCTTAGTTTAGGATACATGATAACTAGGAGTTCATCCAGCTGTAAAATTCCATGAAAAATACGTTTTAAGCACAGTATCTAAATATTATTTTTTTCTTTCTTTCTACATAGTACATTAAGGTGTTACTCTCTTTGGGAAAGCTAATGTTATCCTAACTACTTGCTAAAGAGCTTCCCATATTAACTTCTTTCCCAGTCGTTTCTTTGTGGGAGGAGCGCAGAACTCTTAATTCTATTCTTAATAAGTAAATAGGTAAATGCCTTTTAGATTAAAAATCAAATGAATAAGTACTTTTGGGGTTACAGTATTCCTTACCTGAGACCTCACATATTAGCTTGGCTCTCTATAATATGAATGACATGTTGAAAACATGTAGTTTTAGCCATATGTGTAGATCATATGCCAGAGGAAACCCAGGTACTTTATTGGACAAACTGATCTATATTTTTAAATGGCAAAATTTTTGCCACGTACAGTTTATGTCAGACAGTAAACTCCCAAGTAATCAGAGAACTTGAGAATTTAGCGCCCTAGTTAATTGAATAGTCAGTTTCTTTGATAAGTACCAAATATACCATATATATAATCAGTTACTTCTTTTCCCTACACAATCTGAATGTACTAAAGTGAATAAAAGCAAAAACTGAGCTGTATATTATTTAATTTTTCTTTGCTTCAAAGGGAATTTTTTGGATTTTACAAAATGATCATGTGGTCACAATTCACTACTGTAGGTGCACAAAGATAGGAGATTAGGATTCATCTGTACTGGTCATATGGCATAGTCTAGAAGGTTTGTTTTTAAGTAACTCATTGTCATTTAAATTAAAAAGAATAGCATACAAAAAATTCTGGTTATTTGAGCCTTTAAAATGTGTGTGTGTGTGTGTGTGTGTGTGTGTGTGTGTGTGTATCTCCTCCCTGCCTCCCAATCTGAGGCCAATGCCTGGAGGCATTTTCATCCCCTCCAGTCTTAGAAAACAGACAGCCGAGAGCATGAGTGTGCCCCAAGGCTCAGTCTTTGGTCTTGTTCTCTGTCTCTGCTTGCTCCTTTGGTCCAAACTCATGGCCTGAAATGTGTCCTTTACATGATGACGAGTTGTGTCCTGAAATCTAGATGGTATATGTAATTGCCTATTTGACATCTCCTCTTGAATGTTTAATAGAGATCTCAAACTAAATGTGTTCAAAACCGAACTCCTAATTTTGTCTCCGCATCCCCCAAATCTGCTTACCACAGTTTCCCCCAAATCAATTTGATAGTAGTTCCATCCTTTCAGTTGCTCGAGTCAAAATGTTTGAGTCATCCTGATTTTTCTCTAATATTGACTTCTTTCCCAAAACCCAGCCCTCTATCTCAAATTGCCCCCTGCAATATCAACTTGTGCTGTCACTTAAATTCAGGAAGTCTAGAAGTGAGCTCACTATCTGCCCTACTAAAATTATCTTCCCCTTGATGTCTCCATTTCTATGAGTATCACCACCATATCCCCAGCACTGTGTTTTCCTCAAAACCTCATCTGGCTTCCATGCTCCCACTTTCTCACTATTAATCCAGTCAACCTTCCTTTGTTTTTCCATTGCTGCTGATTTATCACCGCAGACCTGGACCATTGGAGGGGCTTTCAATCTGATGGTCATGCCTAGCACCTTCCTCCTCTGTCATAGCCTGCATACTGCTGCTGGCATTCCTTCCTCTGCTTCTGTTGTTCCCTGCCCTGGAACCCCCTGTCATCCCCTCAACTTAAACTTTCTCTGACCGCTTTCATTCACACAGATTCCTTTTCTGAACCACTCTAGCACCTGTTATCTAAGAATTAGTGAAGTGTGTGGAGAGAACTTTGGGCTGTGAGTCTACAGACTGAGTTTCAGTCCTGGCTACGCCCCTGACCCATTGTTTGGCCTCAGGCAGGCCGCTCTACCGTCCTGAATCTCAATTTCCTCCTTTGTCAAATGAGGGAGGTTCAATTAGCTGATCGCTCTTGGCTCTAACGTTTTGTATATTTATAAGCCTGTGGCTCAAGTAAGGACCATTTCATATGTGAGTTACTGATCATGTCCCCACTTTCAGTTCTTGACGGTTGATCTAAAATGTTACTTTAAAATGATCTTTGTCTTTTGCTTTTACCATATTATTTTTCTTCTTTAAACGTTCCATTCATCCATTTTCTCTTTTTATTATGAGTTTTAAGGCCTTTACTCCATTATATTCATATTTCTCCTATGCAACTATTCTGTTCCTCCACAATAGACGCTATCCCTTTCTAGCAACAGCACTCATGTATAAAATTGTTTCATCTTCCCATCGTTGGGTGGTATTTGTGTCTTCACTAAAGGGTCTGCTTGGTTTGTTCCTCTTATTCTAGTAGAGGTTTGGGTTAACACTGTTGCCTACCTAAAACATCGTTCTAATACTTTCTCTCCCAGAAAAAAAACATTAAAAATAGAAACAGAATAACAGAAATTCAAAAATCCCAAAGCATGTCAACATAAGCTTTTTATGGTATTTTAAATGTTTTTTAAAATGTACAGATGGGCCATTTTGACTTCACGCTGATGCTGATGCACCTCAGAGGACCAAGGGTTTGCTCTATCTGTCATATATGTTTCTGAGCACAATGAGGGTATTTACATGCCACCCAAAGATTCTGTGGTGGATTGATGCTTTGAGAGTTATTTATATAAAGTCTCTAATAATGAATATGTCATTAATATGCATTTACAAGGGACTCCACTTCTAAGGAAATGGACTTGAGCCTTCATTTTCATTTTGAAACCAGAAGTCATAGTATTGTCCAAATCTCTTACTCTTTCCAGAAATTCTAAGAGGGATTTTTGACATGGAAGTGAAGCTAAGAGAGTTAAGATCTTTAAGCCATCTCATCAAGGAACACCTTCAGTAAATAGTCTACATATAGTCGGAGTATTTAGAGCAGAGGTCAGCAAACTTTTTCTGTAAAGGGCCAGATAGTAAATATTCTGGGCTTTGCAGCTGTCTTAGTCTGCTCAAGCTGCCATAATAAAATACCACAGACTGGTGGCTTAAACAGTAGAGATTTATTAGAAGTCCAATATTGAGGTTCCTGCTGATTTGGTTTCTTTTTTTTTTTTTTTTTTTTTTAAAGATTTTATTTATTTATTCTCCCCCCAAAGCCCCAGTAGATAGTTGTATGTCATAGCTGCACATCCTTCCAGTTGCTGTATGTGGGATGCGGCCTCAGCGTGGCCGGAGAAGCGGTGCGTCGGTGCGCGCCCGGGACCCGAACCCGGGCCGCCAGCAGCGGAGCGCGCGCACTTAACCGCTAAGCCACGGGGCCAGCCCCGATTTGGTTTCTGGTGAGGGCTCTCTTCCTGGTTTGCAGACAGCTGCCTTCTTGTTGTGTCATCACATGGCCTTTCCTCGGTGCATGTGTGCTGAGAGAGTCTCTCTTCCTCTTCTTATAAAGCTACCAGTTCTAGTGGATTAGGGCCCCATCCTTAAGACCACATTTAAACTTAATTGCCTCCTAAAGACCCCATCTCCAAATATAGTCACACTGAGAGTAAGGGCTTCAACATATAAAATTTGGGGCGACACAATTCAGTCCATAGCAGCAGGGCATAGGGTCTCTATCACAACCACTCAACTCTGCCCTTATAATGGGAAAGCAGCCGTTAGCAAATGTGTTAATTATTTACATAATTTCATATAATTTCCATGTGTTGTGAAATTTTATGCTTCTTTTGATTTTTTTAACCATTTAAATTTGTACAAAACCATTCTTAGTTTGCAGGTCACAAAAATACAGGTGGCAGGGGTAGATTTATCCTATGGACTATAGTTTGGCAACTTTTAATTTAGAAGATGAGAATGATGAGTGTTCAAATCTCCCTGAGTGGTTCTCTTTACAGGAGGGTACTTGATTATTTTTTGAGTGAGAAACTAAGACAATGCGATTTCTCCCTCCCTTATGGGTTACAGGTGCTGAAATTTGATGCCTATTTCCAAGAAGATGTTCCTATGTCAACTGAGGAACACTATAGGATCCGTCAAGTGAAAATTTACTACTATCTAGAAGATGACAGCATGTCTGTCATCGAGCCTGTTGTGGAAAACTCTGGGATCCCTCAAGGCAAGTTAATCAAACGCCAGCGGCTAGCCAAGAATGACCGGGGAGACCATTACCATTGGAAAGACCTAAATCGAGGAATAGACATTACAATTTATGGCAAAACTTTCCGTGTTGTTGACTGTGACCGATTCACACAGGTATAGTATATGTTTTTAGAAGTTGTGGTGTCTGAGGCATCATTCTAATTTATGGAAGGATACATTTCATTTATTAGGGTAAGAGGAGGACCCTGATAATCTGTCCTATATGGATTACTGGTAGGTTAATTTAGTATTTGTATATGTACTGATATGTGCCAATACTATGTAGTGACATCATCTTTTTTACAGTGATATTGATACATATCCATTCAAATAAAATTAAACTCCCATCATAGCTGAATCAATTGATGAGAAACCAGTTCACATGCCAGTGGAAATAGAGAGTAGGGGAGGTAGCACTCTGGATGGGGTGGTAACGTGGAAGAGGCACTGGATGATTTATCTGAAGTTTGAGTTTACAGAATAGTAATACTTCTCTTAGTAGAGAGAGCCTAAATTTTTTTTTTTCAGAAATTTTAGAAAGTAGAGAACTTTAATCTCCACTAAAGTCGAACTCAACTGTATGAACATACAAGTCAGACCTACAAAATCACAGTTACCTGTTAGCAACATACTTTGGCTTTAAGAAATTCCTTCAAAACAAGTTATACACATATACACATGTATTATGTAGAGCCTAAAAATTTTTTATGCAATTTATATTTTTTCTGTAAATCATACTTGCTATGTTCTAGGGAAACTTGTATCTAAAGAATTCCTGAAATAAAACCATTTTTAAAGGAAAACACTTTTTTATATTGAGAAAACCCCTCCACTTTCTTTATTTCATAAATATGGATTTTTGACAACTTTTCTTAAAGTTAAGTGTACATATATATACTGAGAGATAGAGAGGAGATGGTGACCTTTCTATAGCACAAAATGTAGGCATTAGGAAATCAATTCCAAATTTATCTTTAAAAAAAATTTCTAGAAGCAAAGAAATAGTTTCTGAATTACTTGATGCCCTTTATTCCCATGTTACGTAATGCCAAATGTGATTAATTTTTACCATGCACTGAGCTCCTATGAACTCACTCATTTACTTTTTTCATTTAGTAATTTATTTAGTAAATACTGAGTGTCACTACGTGCCAGGCATTGTTCTAGTTGCCAGGTATAAAGACGTGCCCTTACAAAGGTTATTACATTCTGGTTGGAGGAGATAAACAGTAAGCAACAAATGTGTAATATATCAGATGCTGTTAAGAGCTGTGCGTGAAACTAAAACAGATAAAGGTGATGGCAGTTGGAGGGGGGTGCTGTATATAAAGGCTGGTCAGGGAAGGCCTCACTGAGCAGATGACACTTGAATAGGGACCTCTAGGAAGTGAAGAAAGGAGCCACAGCATCCATGGCATCCCACAGCAGCAGAGAAAAACAATACAGAAGGTAGAGGTGCTGGACCATATTTGAGCTATTATCTCCTTCAAGCATGTTTTTATCTCTCGTTTTGTAGGTCCTTGTTATCATAGGCAGTTTCAGAATTGTACCAACAATGAGAAATTATAAAATGTTATATAAACTTAAGGTATTACAATTATTTTTACAATTGTGTCTTTAGGGACAATTTGAAGATTTGCAGGTTGATCACTGAGCAGTTGATCTAAGCCAGTTACAGTCAGTTCTCATTATTCATGGTAGTTGTGTTCTATAAAGTCACCACAAACACAAATTAGCAAATGCTGAACCATTGTTCCTAGGAGAAATACAGGGTTAGTTTCCTACAAGCCTCTGGTCACAACATTTTCATCACCTGATCAATACATAACATTGTTTTATGTGTTTCTGTTTAAAGATGCCATATTTAAAATGTCTCATTGAGAGGCCAGCCCAGTGGTGCAGCGGTTAAGTGTGCGCCCTCCGCTGTGGGACCCCAAGGGTTTGCAGGTTCAGATCCTGGGTGTGCACCGATGCACCGCTTGTCAAGCCATGCTGTGGCGGCGTCCCATATAAAGTAGAGGAATATGGGCACAGATGTTAGCCCAGGGCCAATCTTCCTTGGCAAAAAGAGGAGGATTGGCATTGGATGTTAGCTCAGGGCTGATCTTCCTCTCACACACACACACACACACACACACACACACACACACACAAATAAAATATCTTGTTGATTCATTAAGACTGAACTCATGGCCAACAGCACCGTGACTCATGCCTGAGTGAAGCTTCTCTAACACATATGTTCTCCTTAAGGCACATCACAGCTGCCTTTTTAATTTTTTATTGTGGTAAAATATATATATAACATAAAATTTACCATTTTAACCATTTTTAGGTGTACAATTTAGTGGCAGTAAGTACATGTCACAGCCTCTTGGCAACTCAAAATTTTCACCACTCCGCGCAGGTCTGCGAAGGACCACAGAAGTGTCACGAGTATTGATTTTGGGGGTTACAAATAAATTTTAGCAAGCAGGCGAATTTGTAAACACAGAATTTGTGAATAATGATGATTAACTGTATTTTAATAACTGGTAATTGACTAGAGCTGTGTATTTCAGGCACTGATGATTAGATTGCATTATGTTTTCAATAATTGATTGTTAGGTTAGAACTTGGCTCCTATAACTGTTATACACATCTTATCTAATTTAGTGGTTTTCTTTAGGGCTGGACCTCTGAGTGGATAAGGAAGATAGCTGTTTAATGGTGTGTTTTGAACCAGGAACCACCTCTATTCAAATATATCACCACCATGATCCCTTTTCACCCCCTCCTCACTGCTCCAAGTAAATGTTTGGTCCTATAGACAGAAGGAACTGAATTAAAAAAGCAAAGCTCCAGAAATGAGAGATCTAGAATTTATTGTGTTTGTTAAAGTATTGCTACTAGCAGAGCAGATGTGACTCCTACTCCACAAATGCACATGTGCAAGAAATATTGTTTTGTTTTCTAAAAATATCTTAAAACCTACTTGAGCCCCAATCCAACAGGGCTGGTTTTCTATTCACCCTCAGCTTTGCCAAAGATTCCAAGCCCTAAGAACAAGGAAGCAGGGCACTTCCCGACCTAAAGGGGTCATACGGGCAGGGTCCAGTGGACAACCTTGGTCCAGGTTGTCCAGTGACCAAGGGCACCTCCCTGATGCTTTGGTGCTAGGTAAGATACCAGGACTCTGAGTACCCGAGCCTGAACGTGCCTGACTGGAGCACGTGTGCTCCGAGCACCCCTCCAGAGTGCGTGTGGAGTTCTTCTGAGTCCAGTCTGGGGAAGTTTCCGCCTTTCTCTTTTCTTGCTCTCAAAGACATTCCTTTCTCTCCTGTCCTTCTGGGTCACTTTAGAATAATCTCTTCAAAGAGTTTAGGCTTTTTTTAAGAGACAGGAAGCACAGTCAACTTCCGGAAGCGTCCACATTCCTGCCCAAATCCCCAAGGTAAGGTTAACAAAAGGCCTGGTTATCTGCTATAAGCAACAGAAAGGAGTAAAACACCCATTAAATACCTCAGTCAACAATCCTGCTGCACTAATACACCGTCTCAAGGGAGAAGAGAATTTTATTTTCAGTCATTATCTCTAGCTCGGTAATTTTAATAGATGTTAAGATCATAATATTTTAATATTGAAAGGATATTGGAGACTGCCTAATAAAATTTTAAATACTAAGAGTACAAGGTAGTTAGCAGCAGAGCTAATACTAGAACTCAAATATTTTGGCCCTGAGTTCTGCTATTTTCTGTTGAATTGTCTGAAAGCAAACCACACAATTCCCAAAAGAAACCCAGATTTCAAGTTAATTTCCAGTTTCAGAATGTAAACGGATCCCGTGAAATTGTTCTGTTCTTTTCTGATTATCAAAAAAGGTACAGTTTATTGTGGTGCTTTTAAGAAGAAGAAATGTGAAGTTGTATTGAAAGATGATAATGACTCTGAGAATAATATTATATTTATAGTCAGCCCTCTATATCCATGGATTCAACCAACCTCAGATTGAAAGGCCTATGATGGTTGTGTCTGTACTGAACACGAACAGACTTTTTTTCTTGTCATTATTATGTCAGAATGACATTCTTGTCTTTATATATGTCTTGTCTTAACATTCTGATATTATGTCAGAATGACATGGTTGTCATTATATACAGTATAACAACTATTTACATAACATTTACATTGTGTTAGGTATTATAAGTAATCTAGAGATGATTTAAAGTATACGGGAGGATATGTGTACGTTATATGCAAATAGTACATCATTTTATATAAGGGACTTGAGCGTCCTCGGATTTTGGTATCCTCTGGGGTCCAGGAACCAATCCCCCGTGGATACCGAGGGGCGACTGTATTCATAATTAGCAAAATAAAATGCAAGATTATGTTAAGTTCAGTTGCTTTCCTTAACTTTTTCTGGTGAGATTCAAGAACTTGATTTGTCTTTTCTATTTTGCTAAAATATTTTCTGCTCTAAAATAACCAGTGGGTATGCTTTCTTTTCTTTTTTGGGGGGGAGATGATCATATACTTGTTTTAAATGAGTTAGAAAGTTGGAAATTTGATTTCAGCTATACTTTTCCATTGTGCAGCTTGCCCCCATAGCTGATATGAATTACATATTGTTTGAAATTATAGTTAGGTTCTGGATGTGTGTATGTAAGCAGTTCTAGGACTCACTCTGTTCTTGGGCACCTAACCAAATTTCATTGATTTGAATTCATATTTGGAGCCAGTTATGTTACCATTATGTGTTCCAATAGCTTAGCACATTGCCTAACAATTTTATAATATAGAATTCTTAGGGTAACTATTGATTATTACCTGCATTGTAGCGTTGGGTCAATTGGAGGCTTAGTACTGCTAAGATATGCTCAGGCTGCAAACTAATGGCTAACTTGGGCAATGACATAGGAATTATTATTACACTTATTTTTACACCATCGGTTAATACTTTAAGAAACTTAAGAAAGATGATCCTTATTAATTTTGAATTATTTAGGTCTTTTTGGAAAGTCAAGGAATTGAACTCAATCCGCCAGAGACGATGGCTCTCGATCCTTACACCGAACTCCGGAAACAGCCTCTTCGTAAGTATGTCACCCCATCGGACTTTGATCAACTCAAGCAGTTTCTCACCTTTGACAAACAAGTAAGTGACCGAGGCACCTCAGTGGGTTTCCTTGTTTCCAAGTGTGGCACGTGTTTATTAGCAAGCTATTTTGATAGATGTGTTTTGAAACATTGTATCTATAACTTAACGTTTGGATCCAGTGCTGTCCTTCTGGTTTCCTCTCCAGTTAGAGCTATAGGAATGCCTGAGTTTCTTATCAGAGATTCAGAGAAGACTGTGGAGTGAAGTCTTGTGAGTTCCACCAAACTTGCAGTCTTAAAGCTATTTCTGAGCTACATCTGCTTCTCACTTTACATTTCCAACTGACTATTTCTTTTCTCAAATATGAGTTAACCTCATAGAATCCTTTGGGAAACCTTAAATGAATTATGGGGAAATTTCAAAGCTATTGCATATATGTAGGTTTCTAATATTAAAATAGTAATTTCACAGAAATCCCGTTGCAAATGCTTCCTTGTTAAATTTTATATTAATGTGTGAGAACAGAATGTTCTGGTTATTTTCCAAATCTGTCCAGCCTTCCTGTCCTCCCTCTTGTGGGCTGGCGTGTAGAGGCAGATTTGAGTTCTCCCTTCTGTACTAAAGGGAAGGAGAAAATGGAGAGATCGCTCTCAATGCTTCTTTGCTGCTCTTCTTCTCTCAGAAATGTAATTCCTTTTAGTTCAGAAAGTTTTATGTGGTCTTTTAAGGACATGGTTTCAATCATACATCTGTTATTATTTTATTTAAAGATTGTGTTGTTGATACTGTTCCTAGAAGATGTGTATTGATGGAGCTAAAAAAAGCCTGATTAATAAATGACAATTCTTTCCATATTAATTATATATAAGCCATTCACATGTGCCTTTATAAATACGTATAAACCACTGTATATAAAGGACTCATTATTCTCTTAATTCAGCTTCTCTTTCAGTGACTAATATTTTGGATCAAAGTGAATTCTTCTTTCTTTGCACAAACTTATGTCTATTATTTAATACTCTCCAGCTATTGGCATCTGGTATATAATTTCAGATATTTTTGTGGGTTTTTTTGCCATCTGAGATTACTTCATAGTATTTCCTGCTAATCTTTTCATCATTGACTGATAAAAATGCCAAAGGAGCTAAGTGAAACTCTCCCCTTGTAGAATTCTTACTTAAGTCACTACTTTGCATTCCTCAAAGGTTCTTCGATTCTATGCAATCTGGGATGATACAGATAGCATGTTTGGTGAATGTCGGACCTACATCATTCATTACTATCTTATGGATGATACGGTGGAAATTCGAGAGGTCCACGAACGGAATAATGGGCGAGATCCCTTCCCACTCCTGATGAACCGCCAGCGTGTGCCCAAGGTTTTGGTGGAGAATGCAAGTATGTTTGATTCGGTTTATCCTCTGTTAACTGAGACATTTTCTGGATCTCAAAGGAGTTACTTATCAGTGTTGTCATTCCATTGACACTTGGGGGGCTCTGGCTGTGTTCCTATAGGTACTCAAAAAATGGCTTTCCCATAATTTCCCTTCTTTACTTGTCTCTCAGTCCAGGCTTGCCTCTGAAATGGTCTGGTGGAGATGACTAATACCCAAATCAAGGAAACAAAACCAAAATAGCAGTGGGAGATCCATTTACAGTGTGAAAGACAAGGCTTCTGAACTGAAGCAATTTAGTATCAGATTTTTAATGCTTTTCTAAAACAAGCTTGTTTTCATCCAAAGATAGAGCTTACCGTTTCCTTATGTGCCTTCCTGACTTTGCTTCCCACCTCAACTACTTCCTATATAGGAAGTTTCTCTGTGAGATAACCTAAGATTGGAAAAGGCATGTCTGTGACTCACAGAGGTGGAGCCCCATTGTGTCAACCTGCTCTTTCCTTGTTGGTATCTAGTGATTGGAGAGTGCGAATGCAACAAAGTGCACCTGAGCCCTGCCGTCCACCAGTGTTTCTCTGGGAGAAACAGGCTTGCTTTAGTTATGGACTGAGTAGTTTAAGAATTTTCTGTTACAAAAATGTCATCTTGGTTGCATGTAGTGACATCTCTCATGCTTGGATGGCTGACTGACAGAGCTCTGCAAATACTTTCATTGATTTTTTTTTTCTTTTTACTCTTATTTTTTTGGAACTAGGAGATAAAATATTCCAAGTATTGAGCAAGAGGTTTGTCTTAGAGGTTATAAACAAATTGAGTTAGAGGTTATAAACAAATTGTTGGTCTCAAGGCTAAATTCAGCCTACCACATGTATTGCTTGGCCTGCACAGTGTTAAAGAAAAATGTGTTACTATATGGGGGCAAGGAGTTGGAGATTTCTGTCATTGAGAGAGTGGATAAACAAATTGTGGTGAAGATATATCTTGATAGATATGTAGTACTTAGAAGCAATAAGCAAAATGTACAAGAAAGCAAATGGATGCATCTTAGAATCATAGTGCTGTGTGGAAAAATAAGTAAAATGAGATGTATAATGTAATAACATTTTCATAAAGTGAAATCACACAAAACAGTATACATGGTACACATATCATCAAAAAGCTGCACATTAGAGTGGTTGCACGTGATGGAGAGGAGAATGAGACCGGCGAGTAGGAGAAAAGGGAGTAAAAATTGTCATCATTTTAAAATTAAGAGAGTTAACATTAAAAATATCTTCTTTTGAGAAATGAGAATAATTGCTAACACAGCTTGCATTCTCAGATAGCAACAACTAGATCTGTGCCCTAGTTCACTGTGGTCTGGCTGCTGACTCCCATGTCCTCCTCTCAGCCTCCTATAGCACCTTCTTAGAGTTCACGACACTGGGACTAATGAACGAATGTTGGCCTTCCAGAATGCTTAAATGAGCCTGAAATTTCTGCCACCTAAATGTAAAACATTAGATTTACAGAAGGTTAAGAGAAAAAATGGGCATGTATTCAGGGTGGCAAAAAAAATGTCACTGAAACTGAATCTCTTGAAATCTTGGGTTCCATGTTTGTCTCTGCCTTCTCAATGTGGCCCGTGTTCAAAGTTTTCAACATGTAATCATCCTCTTCTATAACTTCTCAGATTTTAACGAAATTTTCATGGGAATTATATGGAGAGGCAGGCTGGTGACATGTAGGGTCCTTTAAGAGGTAGGAAACATCTTTTTGTGAAAGTTATTGTTAGTCATACAGTAGCAGGATGGAAAAGGCTAAGCTCCCATCAGCTAAGTAATTCCTTTTTCTAGAACTGGGGGGTTAGAGAGGTGGCATCTAATTGACTCAAAGGCATTATCCAATGGATTACTTTTATTAAATTCAGTTAAACAAGAGTTATGTCTGCTGTGGGAGCTATTTCACTTGCTTAGTGCTGTGGAGGATAAAATGAAAATGTAAGTCCCAGACCAAGAATCCCTGTCCTTCAGTCACTTCTAGTGACTGGGGAGACAAGTCATATAACTACACGAAGCTGTGAAACAGTAGCACAGTGTACCACATGGTCTGATTATGTGATCAGTTATGTCATGTAGACCGCTCAGAAAAAGAGAGATGAGCTAGACAGACTGAAGAAGTCCTTGTGGCAGAGCCGGGATTGGACCCAGATTTAGAATGGCAGAGAACGAAAGGAAAGAGCACTTTCAGGAGAAGAACCAGAGCAAGGGTTGGGAATTGGAAACAAGTTTGGTATGTTTGGGGGCATCCAAGAGACAGTGGCTGGGCAGAGAGTTTGTGTTGGACAGTAATAGGAAATTATGGGTGTATCTTTCAAAAGTTCTGTCTGCCAGGGTCTTGTTTTAAGCAGTTAAGCTGAATCAAAATGATAATTTTATGATGGATGGAGTTAAAATGTCAGGAATTCTAAAAGTTCTTTCTTTGTTGAAGGTAATTGCAGGTTACCACTATACAATGAGTAATGTCAAAAGAAGAGTATTTGGCTCATCAAAAGCCTTCTACTCAGCTGTTGAACCCAAGGCACTAGGTTCTGAAAGTCTGTTAGTTATCCTTTAGACTGGCTTTCCTACTTTGATCTTGCCTTTTTCTGGGTAAATACATATGTCAAACATCAAAATTGTGCACTCTAAATATGTGCAACTTATTGTAGTCAATTATACCTCAATAAAGTAGTAAAAATATACATTCATACCTAGATATCATGGTCAAACGTTAAAAACACCAAATTCAAAAGGATCATAAAAGCAGCCCCAAGGCACAAGTTTACCCAGACAGAATGTCAGTTAGAGTGACAACTGACTTCTCAGTAGCAACCGTGGTCACTAGAAGACAGTGTAATAATATCTTCACAGTGCTGAGAAAAAGGAGAATTTAATACCTAGAGAAACTATCTTTCAAGAAGAAGGTGAAATACATTTCCAGGCAAACAAAACAGATTTTACTAACAATAGACCCTTTCCAGGAAAATTCTAGAGTGTATTTCTAGTAGGAAGAAAATGATTCCAGAAGTAAGATCTGCAATATAAGTGATAAATAAAGAAAATAGCAAAGTGTGAGTAAATCTAAATACATATTGACTATACAAACTAAAGGAACAATGTTGGATTTGTGGGAGTAAAAAAATATCAAGGTAGAATTAAAATATATTTACAATAATGGCATAGGAGGGGATGATAGGATTAAAAAAACAACAAATTTTGAAAAATGTTATTTTTGAGTACATACTTAAGATATAGGGACACAGAAAGGTTAAAAAAGATGCACAAGCAAATAACAAAAGAGACTGAGAAAGCTGTATTAGCATAATGCAAATAGACATTAGGGCAAAAAGCATTGCTAGAGATAAAGAGAATCATTACATATTGCAAGAATTGTATTTACTGGGAAAATGTGATAATTCTAAACTTGAATGCAGTTAATTACATGGCTTCAAAACATATAAAGCAAAAATTTTTAGCACTATTATGCAAAGAAAATGGACAAATCCATTAAAATAGTGGGAGTTATTAAAACATTTTGTTTTAATAATTGTTAGATCAAAAAGATAAATTGATAAGTGTGTATATATATAAAATTTGAACAATTTAATTACCAATATTGATTTAATGAATATATATGCGTCAACATTTTGATGTATACATGATGATATATGTGCATCAAAAATGGGAGAATTCCCAGTTTTTGCAAGCACAAATATAGAACACTTGTAAAAACTGGTGAGTCTTAACAAATTTTAAAGACTGGACATCTTATACCATATTATCTGATTTAAACACAATAAAGTTAGAATTCAATTTTGGAAATATAAATCAAAAAAGTCATGTATTTGGAAATTGAAAAACATTTCTAAATACTCCATGAGTGAAAAAAATACTATCAGAAAATACTTAGAACTAAATGATAGTAAAAATTCTCTCTTTTAGATACATATAAAGTGGTACTTGGAGGAAGATTTGTAGCCTTAAATGCTTATTTAAGAAAGAAGAAAGACTGAAAAAATAAACTAAGCATTTTTCTTGAAAAGTTAGAAAAGGAATGACAGAATAAATCTAAAGAAAGTAAAAGGAAGGAAATAATAAAATAAGAGCTTGAAAATAGTGAAATTGAAAACAAAAGTAACCTAGAAGATTTGTCAAATCAAAAGTTGTTTCTTTGAAAGGACTAATAAAATGACAAACCATCGACAAGATTTATCAAGGTAGAAAAAAAAGAAGGCACATATACACCATATTAACAATGAAAGAGGCATACTTAAAAATGCAATAGGGGTTAAACAGAAAATAATACCAGCAACTTTTTGCCAATAAATTTGAAAACTTTGGTGAAATGAGCAAATTTTTAGAAATAGAAACCGGATGTCTTTAATAAAAAATAAAATCAGTTTAAAAATTCTCCGTAAAGAAAACACCACGTCCAGATAATTTTTTCAGAGTTTTGCCAAATATTTAAAGAATAGATAATTCCAAGCTCAATACAAACTCTTTCGTAGAAAAGAAAAAGAATTTAATTCATTCATTAAAAAAGACCAATAAAACCAAAGACACCACGAGAAAGAAGTATAGTCTCACTCATGAACATATATGCAAAAAACCTAAACAAAATATCAGTAAATGAAATCTAGCAGTATATGAAAAACATAGTTGTTGAGCAAACAAAAGTGAATGGCTGGACAGCACACACACACACACACACACACACAGATGTCCTGACACACACAGATGTCCTGACACACCCACACACACACATCCTAACACACACACACGTCCTGACACACACACACACACACACACACACACACACACACACAGATGTCCTGGAACATGGTTTCCTGAGGGAAACCCATGGAGTCACGAGCTGTGTCCCCCATTGCCCATTGCTGCCTGGAGTGACTCAAAGGGATCTAGCAGGGTTAGGCACTAGACACTGGGAGAAGGAAGCCGTGGTCTGTAGGCCTTTTAAGATGCCTGATTAGGAAAACACCAGCCCTTCTCTTGGCATGACCGAGGGCTGGAGTTCAAGCCTTTTTGTCTGATGTAGCAGAACCTTAGCCTCCTTGCCTATTTTTCCATCCTGGCCATTATCAGTTAGAATACCAGCCTACCTATCCTGCCCTCTGTGATCAGAGTTCTGGGGCCAAGCTTTTTGATTATCACTATACAATGTGACACTTTACCAGAATAGCCTGACTGCCTCATGGTTTCCATGGAGGCCAGGCTGCAGGGAAGCAATCTTTAACCAGTGAACCCTTGGTTCTCATAGAACAGCGTGACGAAATTGGATTTATTCCAAAATGCAAGGTTGAGTCTGCATTTGAAAACCTGTTGATTCCGCAAGTAAACGGATTGCTGTAATCATCTCACTGACTGTCCCCACCTCCTGCCACAGGACTAGGTCAGACTGTCCTAAGAGCAGTGATCACAATTGAAAGGAAACCATTATTTGTGTAATTGTTTAGTATCTGTCACCCCAAACAGAATGTTTTCTCCATCAAGGCACGAGTTTTATCTATATTGTTAAGTGTAATCTCAGTATTTAGCAGTACGCCTAGTGCATGGTATATGTGGTCACCAATGATGGATGAATGAATAAATGGGTGGGAGGTTGAACTAAATGACTTGGATCCCTCCTAGATCTCGTACTCTATCTTGATAGAAAGACATTTATCGTTTCCTCCTGCAATGATTTCTTCTAGGCGTTAATTCTACTAAGATTAGTGACCTGTAGTGATAGTTTGAGCGGAATATGGGAGAGAGACTTTACAAACGCCATCTGGGATATTATTTGACAGGACATGTGTCCTGCCAACAGATGGAAATACACAGCCTTATGTTCTGCTGGGAATGTGAGGAGTCCCTGACTCTTGACCAGAGCCAAAGACCATCCTCCCTCATATTCTCAAGAATTCCCAGCTGTTGTGTGTCAGTCTTTCTTCCCATCCTCATTCCTTTTTCTTTCCTCTCTCCCCACTATCTTATGTTAGAAAACTTCCCTCAGTGTGTGCTGGAAATCTCTGATCAAGAGGTGTCAGAATGGTATACTGCCAAAGACTTCATCGTGGGGAAACCACTCACTATCCTCGGGAGAACTTTCTTCATTTATGATTGTGATCCATTTACTCGACAGTATTACAGAGAAAAGTTTGGAATCTCCGATTTACCACGTGTTGATGTGAGCAAGAAGGAGCCACCTCCTGTAAAACAGGTAATGGAACACTAGTTCTGAGTGTAGTGAGAGAATTAATCTTTTCATTTAGAAGTTTAAGAAAAAGGAAAAAAAAGTCTTTTATCTGAATGCCCAATAAAAAATGGACAAAGCATATGAGCAGTTCACAAAAGAAGAAGTACAAATGGCTAATGAACATATGAAAAGGCCCCCAACTTAACTGATAATCAAAGAAATAGAAGTGAAAATAATGAGGTTTTGGATCTATTTGATTTAAAAAGACTCACAGTATCCAGTGTTTGCCCTGATGTGAAGAACTGGGCATTTTCATGTACTGCTAATAGGAGAGCCAATGAGAAAAACCTTTCTGAAGGACAGTTTGTCATCATTTTAATTTTTTCAAAGTAAAATATTACGTATCTCTTGAACCAGAAGATCTGGTTTGGAGACCATAAAAAGGTTTGTATGAGGATGTGTATTGTAGCATTATTTATAATAAAGTGTAAGGAGATTGGCAGAATAAATTATAGTATATCCATCCATACAATTAGAGGACAGAGGAAGTAAGTCTATGCATTTTAACATGGAAAAATGTCCATAACATTTTGAAGTGAATGTGTATACGTGATATGTCTCTGCTTTCGTAAATGACTGGGTACAGTATCTGCTTCTCCACACTGAGGAGGAGACCCGGAGGAAGATCCGCCCATTCTGTTAGCAGTGGTTAGTTCAATGTGTGGGAGTGGGGAGTAGGGAGAGGAGTGGGAGATGACAAGGGATCTTTCTTTTTATGCTCTCTGTGGTTTTAGTTTCTCTTTTTATACCAAGCCTTGTATTACTTTTATAATTTTTTTCATCTTTATTAAAAAAAAAGGACATCTTTTAAAATTTCAGATCCCTTGGGCATTTCCTTGTTCCTTGCCTATTTATCAAACCCTTTCAAATAAAAACTGATTGGGAGCAAAAGAAAATCTGATTAATTGAAGATGTTGGCAGATGGCTTTCTTTCCTTGCAACATAGCTTTCCTTAGAGTCACACCGAACCACAAACTTCGCTTCTGTGCACCCCAAAAGTCCACTCTGATCTGAGAGTAAGTTTATGGTGCTTTTAATGCACCAAAATAGTAATCTGATAAATTTGAGTCTTCAGAGTGGCTCAGCCACATATTTGAGAGATTCACATGAGAATTGCATGTTTTAAAAAATTACACATTACACAGCAAATTCAAGAAGTATCTAAAGTATTAAGGCAGCACAGTTCCATGGACTGACAGTACTGATGCTTCTTATACCTGTTTGGGTCAGGAGCAATTCATGCAGCTTCCTTGTCTGTTGCCCATGTGTAAAATAGGGTGTTAATACCTGTGGCCCATCTTTTTTTTTTTTTTTTTTTCCTTTTTAGTGATAAAGATTAGCCCTGAGCTAACATCTGTTGCCAATCCTCCTCTTTTTTTTTTTTTTTTTTTTGTGGTGAGGAAGATCAGCCCTGAGCTAACATCCATGCCAATCTTCCTCTTTTTGCTGAGGAACACTGGCCCTGGCCTAACATCCGTGCCCATCTTTCTCCACTTTATATGGGACGCCACCATAGCATGGCTTGACAAGCGGTGCCTCGGTGCGCACCCAGGATCTGAACCCAGGCCGCCAGCAGCGGAGTACACGCACTTAACCGCTACGTCACGGGGCCAGCCCCCCAATCCTCCTCTTTTTGCTGAGGAAGATTGGCCCTGGGCTAACATCCGTGCCCATCTTCCTCTACTTTATATGTGGGACGCCTGCCACAGCATGGCTTGACAAGTGGTGCCTAGGTCTGTGCCCAAGATCTGAACCTGTGAACCCCGGTCCACTGACGCGGAGCATGCGAACTTATCCTCTATGCCTAAGCTTTTGAGTCCTGGAATACCTCTGTTCCCCATCCTCGTTACTATCATCTTTTTCCTCCTAACCTGTCTTCTAAAGAAAGAAAAAGGAGGGAAAGCTTGAATAGAGGGCAGAGAGAACTGAAGAGCTGCTGTAGGTGTTGGTTTGTTTGTTTTGCCCTATTTCAGTCACTCTGGATAGTAAAACTAATTCTACATTTACACATATGGCATATTAATGACAGTGTTTGGTCAGTTTATTTTCAGTATATTCTCAATAACAAATAATTCTATTACAAATAAATTCTCTCTGGCTGTCCATGCAAGTCTTTGTTGGAAATGCGTAGGAAAGCTCCACTTACCAAACGGCAGATACCTTTTAGCTCTCCTTAGTCATTAGACTTTAGTCATGTAAACCCTGAAGAACGCAGTTGGAAGGCAGGGATGGGAAGCTGCGGCAGGGTCTAGAGGGACAGAGCTAGAGCCAGCTAGATAAAGCTGACGGTCAGGAACAGAAGGGGATATGAGGCAGATATATTCAGTTCGAGAATCGTGACACTCAGAGGGCAGGCTGATCTGCTAGATCAGGAATAAATGAACGTGGATCCAATGGCCAGATGCGCTCTGTCTCAGGCTGGCTCCATCTGGAGACATGCTAGTAGGGAAGAGGAAGCAGCCAGGACTAGGAGAGCTTATCTGCTATGGAACTGGCCCCTAAAAGCAGTGCGTGAGGATTATGGGGCTCTCAGGCCCCATAGGTACTTGCTTTGTTAAGAAAGCCTGGGCAGAGACTCTGACTGGGGGGTCATATGAGCAGGTGTATCTAGGAGTGATAATGTCCACAGTCAGAGGAGTGACTCAGCTAGTTTAGAACAGGTCCCAGGCAGTAGCTTGGAGTACAAGAAGCATGGTGCCAAGACTCCAGGCATATGGGAAGGTCTTCATTTCAAACGGGGTATGAGGTGTGATTAAGGAAAAACAAGTAGAAGCCTGTTGAAACACAAAAGGAATTTGAGAGGAAGGCTAGAGGCTTACAGCTACCTCCCTAGTTCAGAATCCTTCAACCTCCACCCCCGTCCCCAGCCGGGCTGCTCTCTTTGTGTATTGATGTGGATGCAAAGCAAGTTTAGATTCCACCACTGCACATTTCTGCCTAGCCTCCAGAGTAACTCAAATGCTTCTTAGTATTTGGTGTCTCGCCCAAGGTCACTCTGTCCACGGCAATTTGTATATTCATTGAGCAGTAGTTTTGCACTTGGAGCCAATTAGTCATATTCCATAGTGACTGGATCCACTAGTCATGTTCCAGCCTTGATGAACACATTAACTACAGCCCCAGGAAGTGGGTGAAGGTCAGTGTTCCAAGCATTACACCTTGGATGAACGCGGCAGTCACGGGTTTTTCTGGGAGTACCCTGTCACAGATGGACCAGGGATCGTGTAGACTAATTTGTTAAAGTGCCTGAATACAATTTATAAACAGATTTGGGGAAGGTATTTACAAGTGAAAAGCATGATGCGAGCTGAGTTTGCTGAGAAAGCATGGTGAAAAGGAGGCAGAGAAGAACTCTGCTGCGGTCTGCCCAGCATTGATGAGAAAGGGGAAACAGCTTCTGATCTAAAGTTTATAGACAGACAAATCCTAGTGGCCTAGAGTGATGCTTTCAGCTCTTCGTGGAACCTGGATGAAGAATATAAGCTCATCCTTTACTTTCTTGCTAACTCACTAAATAACCTTCGCATCTGAAATTTGGTTCCTTGAGTTTACTCCTTCACTAGGAAAGGAGAGTCCTGGGTGGACAAGGGGCCTGAGTTCTCAGTGGAGTGTGGCTGTCATCCCTCTTCTGTGAGGCAAAAATCAAGAAATAAAAATATTAGAAATATGGAGGTAAATAGGAAAAAAGTAGCATGAATCAAGTCCAGACCCACACCCCCAACTCCAACACACATACACACTTGGAGTGAACTGAGAAAACAGTTTCCAGATCTCCCAGGTTGAGGCCCACACCCTAGCACAAAGAAGTCACAGACAGACCCATGGGCTTCACCATGTTAGATGACCACAAGGGCCAGGATTGGGACCGGGAGTCGGGCCAGGCCCTGCCTCGGCAGTAAGGGGTCAGTGGACATAGCAATAGTTTCGATGTAGCCCTGAGGGTTACATTTGCAGCATTAGTCACTTCTGTGAGCAGCGATCATGGTGTAAAGTCTATAAATGAAGAGGAACGGAACATGCAGTATGTTATTTTTCCTGACTACCTTTGTATATATGGAAATTGCTTTTGAATAAATATTTTCTAGATGTTTTTTAAAAGGAAACTTAGTTACTGTTAATGTAATGTTTAACACAAAGAGCATCTGCTTTACTTATTGTTTCCTGTATTTCTTCAGGAATTACCTCCCTATAATGGTTATGGACTAGTTGAAGACTCTGCTCAGAATTGCTTTGCTCTCATTCCAAAACCTCCGAGAAAAGATGTTATTAAAATGCTTGTGAATGATAACAAAGTGCTTCGTTACTTTGCTGCACTGGTGAGGATGAATTTTATGTACTAAGATTCTGTCCTGTCTCAGTACTGTGCACAGTTGTCTATTTTGTCTGTAAGCTGTAGAATAATAGCTGTAAGAGTTAACTATTTACTTAACCATTGGATTCAGTACCCAGCCTTGAGGCAGGTTGGATAGTATTAAGTATGGTGCCCCCGAACCAAGACCTAGCTCAAGTCCTGTCTCCCCCCAAAATATTCCTTAGATCATTAATCTCTGTTCTCTACCCCTCAAATTTTGACAGATTTTTGCCTTTTTTATTAATCAGTTGTGAAAACCTGACTTATGTTCAAATTATTTGTATAGCTGTATGCCTTTCCAGTGTACTGTGATTTCCTTGACAGTAGGGACGTCTTACTAATTTTTAGCATTATCTGTGATATCTAGCTTGATGCACTTTATATTCATTAAATGTAATAAATGGAATCATACCGATTTAATGGATGTTGCCTTTGAGAGGTCATATGGCTAGTGGTTAAGAGCATGGGTGTAGAAACAAACATAAATTCAAATCCTGAGTATTCCATTCACTGGCTGAATTACCTGAGGCAAATTACTGCTAGGAGTTCAAAGGATGATGTCTCTAAAAATGGAAAAAATATAGAAATAGGAATATAAGCATTTTATTGAGAAATATGGACATAAACAGCAGAAATTGAAATACGTTCCTTCTGGCAATAGGAATTGGGAGTGGGGAGGGGTGGGTCAGGTGATTTTTCAAACTATATGCTTGTATTTGAAAAAAATAAAACTTAAATGAAAACACAATTGACTCATAAATTTCAGAAAGATGTTGAACAAAGCTTAAAATAAAAAGGAAGTTCTAGGGGCCAGCCCCATGGCTTAGCGGTTAAGTGCACGCGCTCCGCTACTGGCGGCCCAGGTTCAGATCCCAGGCGCGCACCGACACACCACTTGTCCGGCCATGCTGAGGTGACATTCCACATACAGCAACTAGCAGGATGTGCAGCTATGACATACAACTATCTACTGGGGCTTTGGGAAGAAAAAGGGAAAAAAAGGAGGAGGATTGGCAATAGATGTTAGCTCACGGCCGGTCTTCCTCAGCACAAGGAGGATTGGCATGGATGTTAGCTCAGGGCTGATCCTCCTCACAAAAAAAAAAAAAGGGAGTTGTAGCAAACCCTAGGCCAACTAGAACATTCCATACCATAAGAATTCTGATTAATGAAGGTTTTGCATTATTACTAAGTTCTTTGAGTTACTATTAAAATTCAAGAGGCCTGTTGAATTATGATGTAGTAACTGTAAACTCCTTGAGGGCAGAGATCATGTCTTTCTAGACTTAGTAGGTACTCAGTAACTGTTGGTTGAATGGGTAAATGAATTTATTTACACATACACTATCCATGAATTAGGTAATATAATATTATACCCATTTTATGTTTCAAAACATAGGAATCAGAGAGGCTAATTGGCTTGCCCCAGGTCTCAATGCTGCTTAGGCAGAGGCAGGACTAAAACTCAACCTTCTGACTTTCAACCCAGCACTGGTTTTTTTTTCATTTTTAAGGAAGATTGGCCCTGCGCTAAGATCTGTTGCCAATCTTCCTCTTTTTTCTTTTTCTCCCCAAAGCCCCAGTACATAGTTGTATATCATAGTTGTAGAATTGTTGCTCTTATATATGGGACACCACCTCAGCATGGCCTGATGAGCAGTGAGTAGGTCCACGCCTAGGATCCGAACCAGCAAACCCTGGGCTGCTGAAAGCGGAACACGTGAACTTAACTGCTATGCCACCAGGCTGGCCCCCTCAGCATTTTTTTTGAAGTTAAAGAGTATATATATATATTTTTTTCATTTTTTTTTATTGATGTCATAATAGTTTATAACATTGTGAGATTCCAGTTGTACATTATTATTTGTCAGTCACCATATAAATGTGCCCCTTCACCCCTTGAGCCCACCCCCCAAATCCCTTTCCCCTGGTAACCACCAAACTATTATCTCTGTCCATGTGTTAGTTTATATTCCACATATGAGAGAGGTCATACAGTGTTTGTCTTTAAAGAGTATATTTTTATTTTACAGTGTATATAATTCTGGAAATATGACAATACATTCAGTGTAAGCAATTTTAATACTGCCATCTTATATGTGAGAGAAGCAGTAGAGAAAAGAGTATCACAGTAGTTTTCACTACTGAAAAATAGTTACCATAGCCCTCAAGAAGGTGACATGAAGAGTGACCACAAGGAAGGAAGTTGGAAAAAAATCCTATTCCTGCAGCTCTGAGAATCCTCAACCCAGTGTTCTTTTGAACATGAACCAGTATAATGCTTAGGCTAAAAAAGGGAAAAGGACTCACATGAGTTTGTAAACTACATAATTATAAGCTTAGTTTTCCTACCTGAAAATCGTGGGAAAATTGTTACATAATTGATTATAAAAATTTCTATGAGAGGAAGATGGGCACAGATGTTAGCTCAGGGCCAATCTTCCTCAGCAAAAAGAGAAGGATTGGCAACAGATGTTAGCTCAGAGCCAGTCTTCCTGAGGAAAAAAAAATTTCTATGAATAACGTTAGATATTGCTAAATGAGGAGAGAGAATACATGTATATTGACTGCAGTCTTCTATACTCACAAATAACCCAGGCAAATGTGGTGTATCACAAAAGGTTGAAAAGTAGGTAGACGACTTCTATTTCTAGCAATGATAGACTAGGTAATTTGGATCAGTCCTCTTGCTGAGGACAACTAGAAAAACTGTTGTGTGTGTGTGTATTTGCTACTGCTGGAATGTGCTGAACAACTAAAAAGAAGTGAAGAATCACTGAGCAAGAACCAGGAGAATATTGACAATCAGAGAGGCGAGCCTGGCAAATGGGGCCATTTTCCCCTGGGAATGTTTGCTGTTTCTAGAAGGCAAACATTGGTTTGAGGGCATTCTCTGAGGGCAAACATTGGAATCTAGGGCCTTTCAAAGGCAGAAGCACCTGGTAAACCCTCTGTGCTTTAGTCTGTAAGTGGCTAATCCTTGAAGGGACTATCATCTGGTTTTGATTTATCTTAGACCCTGAATTATCACAGTTCCTGAAATCAGATTAAGATGATCCTGGATTACTAATGCCCCCAGGTATCTGGCAGAAGCAAATGTAAATTCTCTGAAGATTGCATTATCCTAGGCTTCAAATTACTTCTACAAACAATTTAAGAAATATGATGTATTGGGGCTGGCCCCGTGGCCTAGTGGTTAAGTTCAGCACACTCCACTTCAGCAGCCTGGGTTTGATTCCCAGGCGTGGACCTACACCATTCATTGGCAGCCATGCTGTAGTGGTGACCCACATACAAAATAGAGGAGGACTGGCAACAGATGTTAGCTCAGGGTGACTCCTCTTCAGCAAAAAAACAAAAAAAAAAAGAAAAGAAATACGATGTATGGCACTCATTCAAAAACATGATATTAATAATACAATGTCCAGAGGAAGAGCAAGAGGATATGAAGGAAACTGAGGCGAAACAACAGACAATAGAAATAGATCCATAGGGGCTTCAAATACTGGTGTGATCAAACTCAAACTTAAAAAAAAACTATATTTACTATGTTTAGGAGATAAAGGATAAGATTGAGAATTTCAGAGAACTATAAACAAAACTATTTCAGTTTTGAAAAATTATAACAGAAACAATAAAAGAAAAAAATTAGGTGCAGAAAAGTATTTGATAAAATTCATCTATTATGGTTTTAAAACAAAACTCTTAGTAAATAGGGGATAAAAGGGAAATTCCTTAGTCTGATACAGGATATCTACCAAAAATCTGCAGACAGCATACTTAGTGATAAAGTGCTGAACGTGTGCCCTCTGAGATCAGGCACAAAGCAAGACTGCTCCCCGTCACCCCTTCTGTTCAACGTTGTCCTGGAGGTCCTTAGCTAGAGCAGTAAGACAGTAAGGGAAATAAAAGGTATAGGGATTGAAAAGGAAGAAAGAAAACTGTCGTTATCTAAAATGAATGCTTTTCTATGCAGAAAATCAGAGAGAATCTACATTACATGTTAGCAGAGTCATTGTACGAACAGCAACAAACAGAAAATAAAGTTAGAAAAATGCTGTTTACCATACATAAAAATATTAAATTCCTAGGAATAAATCAAACAAAAGGTGTGTAATACCCAAAACATTATAGAGAGAAAAGTAAAGAAGACCTAAATAAGTGAAGGGACATACCATGTTCACTGGTTAGAAAATTCAGTATTATAAAGATATTTGCCCCAAATTGATTTATGGATTCAAAGCAATTACAGTGAAAATCCCAAAGGGTTTTTATTTTTGCAGAGCTTGACAAACTGATTCTATAATTTATGTGGGATGTAAAGTACCAAGGATAGCCAAGACTCTCTTGGAGAACAAGATTGGTGGATTTGCTCAACCAAATATCACAGTATATTAAAAAGTCACATAAAGTAATTAAGACAATCTCATATGAGTGCAAAGATAGATAATTAGGCCAATGGAATAGAATAGCCCAGAAACAGACCCCCACACACTTAAGATATACGACAAATATGGCACTGCAGAGGGGTTGGGAAAGGAAGGTCTTTTCAGTAAATGACATCGGAACAATTAGATATCCATATGGGAAAAAAGAAGAGAACTTGACCCCCCACACAAAAAATAAAAATCAATTCTGGGTGGATAGAATATTTACATGTGAAAGGCAAAGTAGTAAAACTTGTTAATGATAAGATAATCTTAACTTTGTAGTAGGGAAAGATTTCTTTAGTAGGACACAAAAAGCAGGAATTCTTTTAAAAATGGGTAAATTTGACTGCATTAAAATGGAAAGTTCTTTTCCTTAAAAAACACTATTAAGAGAGTGAAAAAGGCGAGGTCCGAGTCGGAGAAGATGTTACTAAGGAAATCAACCAAGAACTCATATCAAGAATATGTAAAGAACACTCTGAAATCATTTTTAAAACTAAGCAAGAAACTTGAAAAGGCATTTTACAAAAGAGGATATCCAAAAGGCTGATAAATGTATGAACAGGTGCTCAGCCTCTTTAGTGATCAGGGAACTACAAATTATAACCATAGTGAATTGCCCCTACTCACCCACCCGGATGATTAATGTGTTGGTGAGAATATGGAACAATTGGAAATCTCATACTCTCAGTGACGCACTCACTTAGGAAAACAGTTTGGCATAGTCAAGTACGCTAAATTGTGCCAAAATGGTACACTGTGTGTGCACCAAAAGATAAGAATGTTCATAGCAGCATAATTCATGATAGCCAAAAATAGACCAAAATGTCCATCCATAGGAGACTGGATAAATAAATTATGGCATATATGCAATGATTTGAATTCTGTTCAGCAATGAAAATTAAGGAACTACAGCTACAAATAAAGCTAAGTTGCATAAACATAGTTTTGAATGTAAGAATCCAGACACAAAAGAATACATACATATTATGTAATTTCATTTAGATGAAGATAAAAAAACAGGCAAAACAAAGCTGTTTAGGGATGCCTGCTTTGTAGTAAAACTAAACAAAACCATGAAACTCAAGATCATGGCTTTTTTGGTGGGGGAGGTATAGGATGATTGGGAGGCTGCTTTCTGGGTGCCGTCAGTGTTCTGTTTCTGGACCTGGGTGGTGGTTACATGAGTTTGCTTTGTGAAAATTCTTTGAACTGTAAATTTTGTGTTTTTTTGCAGTTTTCTCTATGTGTGTTATGGTTCACAGTAGAAAGATATATTTAAAAGAACACCAATAGAACTATTAATAAAGAAGCAGTGGATATCTTCCTATGGGCAAGAAAAAAGAAGTGATATTCTGGTAGTGGTAATTTTCAAAGGTTTTTCCCTGACCTATTTGGTGAAATAGAGGGTGTATTCATTCAGCTCATCACAAAAGCTCTGGGATGAAAGAAAGGTTGTCTGACAATAAGGGGAAAGGGCTTAGGAATAAGGTGAGGACTTCAGAAGAAAAGATGGAAATTCAAAAGAAGGGAATATGCTGGAGGAATGACCAGAGACAAATATAAATTAAGTTCAGGTAACACTGGGCGTGTTGCGAGGAAATAAAGTATATAAACCCAGGTAGGCGATTGGTGCCCAAGTAAAAGTATCTGGGGCTCGGAGTGGAACACCAGCTGAGAAACTCGAGGAGGCTTTAGAAGAGCAAAAGAAACGTGACTCGAGCAGTGATCTCTATAGCAGCACGCACACCCTTCCAGGGAGTATGCGAGACGGTGTAATCGATGGGGTTTATTAAGAATGTATGATAGCCTCTGTTTGTATTTTATTAGGAGTGCATTTATTTTATAGCCCTGATATTTTTATATATGCTTTGTAATGCACAAAACATTTATATAGAAGAACGTATGTTCAATTATGCATTCATTCATTCAACAAATATTATAGAACTACTCTGAGCTTGGCATAATTCTAGGCATCAAGGGTACAGTGGAAAACAAGACAGACAAATCTCTGCCTTCATGGTGGACTTTCTAGTTAATAAGTAGATAGATCCTAAAGGGACAGGTAGTAGCACATGCTGGGTAAAGCAGGAGACAGTGATGGGGATGGGGACTTGTTTACATTGGAAGATCAGGGAGAGCCTCTCCAAGGAGGGCACAGCCGGGCAGAGACCAGAATGAATAACCGAGGGAGCAGGCCAGGGGACTATCCGAGGCAGCTGCATTCCAGGCAGAGGCGGTGTACAAGGAATGTGGGTAGAGGGGCAGAAATGAAGACGGGCTCGGAGGCCAGCTCAGGCCGCAGCCAGTGGCATAAGGCCGGAGGGGTGGGGTGGTGGGAGCAGTCATCCAGGGTGCAGGTAACAAGGGGTGTAGGTAACAAGCCTGTAGAGAATTTGAAAATAAAACCAACTAAAAGTTGATCTGCTTCTTATTGTCATCATGTGCCTGTAATTCTAAACAACATCAGTGATAAAATACTCATCCCCAAAGAGACAGCTCCTCCGTATAGTAGAATTTCAATTAATAAATGTAGAAGAGAAGAGGGCAATAGAAAACTACCATTAAGCACACACCACAGCAATAACTGTTGCAGATAAGATCCATCAGTGGATGCTAAGATTAGTGGGCAAACCTTTGAAGAGAAACAAGATTTTCATAGTTTCAGAGTATCTCTCTCAAGATCTTAACTGCAAAGGGAAAGATGGTAACTTTATAGGGGAGAAACCCAGCAGCCGTCTTCTTAGGCAAGTGATCAAGCTCAACGTACCAATAATAAGATACACTGATATCATGAACTCCTTGATGTGCACTCAGAAGGACACGCTATTTTTTCTGTGGTGTTATTGCCATAGATGCAAAAATGAGATGCATGAGGGACATTCAACAAAATAATTGACCAGTACTCTTCAAAAGTGTCAAGGTCATGGAAGACAAGGGCAGACTGAGGAACTGTCACATGAAGGAGGTTAAAGAGAAATAACAACTCACTGCAGTGTGGGATCCTGTATAGGACCCTGAAACAGAAAAAGCACATAAGTGAAAAACAGGTGAAATCTGAATAAGGGCAATAGTTTATTTAATAGGATTGAACTATTGTTATTTTCCTGGGTTTGATCATTATACTATGGTTATGTGAGACGTTAATGTTAGGGGAAGCTTGGTGAGGGGCATATGAGAATTCTCTGTTATTTATGCAACTTTTCTGTAAGTCTAAACTTAGTTCAAAATAAAAAGGTAAAAAAAATTTTTTTAAGTTTTAAAATCCTCCCTCCTACCAGGGTGAGCCGTTGCCACATCCTCCCAACCCCCTTAGTACACCCCTGCCCGTAGCCCTGCTCAGAACTTGGTGTTTTATTCTAAGTGTGATGGGAATCCTCTGGAAGTTTGAGAGCAGAGGAGTGATGTGATTTGATTTTTATTAACTATATTGGGGATCTTTGCTAATTTTTTTATTATAAGGGTGTCCAATCAAAAAAGTCTTGGAAACTATTAGATAAGGGAATGGTATGAGGAAATTATTTTGCTAAGAGGAAACCCAATGACTTTCTTTAATAAACGAGAAATTATTACACAAATAATTCCATGGTCTGAATGAAAAGATATGTGCTGAAGTTGTGATGTGAGAGGATTTTAGTCAAGAATAAGCATGTCTGTATGTAGACTTGTTCAATCTGGAATTTGTTTCTTAAGGGTTATGTGATCACTCTTCAGTAATTTGATTTAGGAAGTGACTTGTCTACAAGATAGTTTCTCAGAATCACTTTCAACTCTATAATGTTACATTACTCATTCCTCCCTTCTTAAATTTCCTTTTTAAAATGATGTATATAAATGGATTTGTTTAAAGAACTAAACTTTGCATAATCATCTTAGTGTCCACGAAGTTGAACATGGTGTCAGCTAAGAGGTCTCAGACTGGCAGCCTGTGGGCAGAATGTAGCTCACTTAAGTGTTTTGTTTGGCCACCTGGTGCTTTAAAAGAGTTGAAGTCAACATTTTAAAATCAGAGATTTTATATAGTAATCCAGATTTCTATCTTCTCATGAAAAATTGGAAGATGTAGCAACATTGGGCCTACATTCCCGCAGAGCAACAATCAACTGGAGTTGAATTGGGGCAGCCTCCTTTAGATGGGCATGTCCTTTCCAAGCCACCAGAGGCCCCCCATACTGTTCATTTATCTTATACTTTATAGATCATGTTTATATTATATACCTAGTCCCTGTAGGTATTTAAGTTTGGAGCATCTGGATAGATCATGTACCTTCATAATATCCTCTTTTCTTCACCTTTCTAGGAATCCCCCATCCCAGAAGACAAAGACCGTCGATTTGTCTTCTCTTATTTTCTGGCCACCGACATGATCAGTATCTTTGAGCCTCCTGTTCGCAATTCTGGTATCATTGGGGGCAAGTACCTTGGCAGAACTAAAGTTGTCAAACCATACTCATTGGTGGAAAACCCCGTCTACTACAGCCCTAGTGACTTCTTCATTGGTGCTGTGATTGAGGGTAGGTCTGATCACGGGTTAGGCTTTCCTATTAGCCAAGTGAATGGGTTCTTCTTTGGAATTTAATTCAATTAACCCTTGTAGGAGGCAGCTGGGCTGCATTCCAGCTGAGATAAACCTAATCTTGTATAGGGGTACAGTGTCTTAGTCTCCTTCCTTATCAATTAAACTGTAAATTGGTCACATTTGTTGGCTATAAATATAGAGCCTGAGCTTCCTAAACACTAAGCATACTACTACGTATTACTTTAGAGAGCTTTTGAAAGTTCATTAATCTAGGTCACAAGTGCATATCTGTGAATTTGTCATTGGAGGATCAGTATTATTTTACTCCTGACTGCATGATAAAAACATAACCAAGCTAAATGTATTTCTACCCTCTCCTCAGTGTTTGGCCACCGGTTCGTCATCCTTGATACAGACGACTATGTTTTGAAATACATGGAAAGCAATGCTGCCCAGTATTCACCGGAAGCACTCTTGTCAGTTCAGAACCATGTTCGAAAGCGAGAACCTCCCGCACCAGAATTGGAAAAGTATGTTTGACCGTCTAGGGTCCATTCTGGCTTTGGCACATATGAGATATTCAGGAAATAGTTCTTGATCAAATGAATGGGCAATCACATTTTAGATTTTCAGATTTCCCTCACCAAGTGGGAGCTATTAGTCATATACAGAAGGTTCCCTGGGTCCAATATAATAACTAGCAACGTAGAACTTTTTCAACTTCATTTATTTAGCAAATAATTATTAAATGCCTAGTATGTGTCATATACTATCACTAGGCCCTTGGGCTTTTATCAGTAAACAAAATAGACAACAAGTTGTCGCCCTCATGGAGTTGACCTTCTAAGGAGCAGGAGATAGCCAATAAACAGCACAGGTAAATTGAACAGTATATTAGGTGATGAGTGCTATGGAACAGTGGAGGAAAATAAGGGTGATAAGGGTTTCTGGAGGGTGGTGGTGGGTTGCAGTTGATTGGCAGAGGTGGTCAGACTTGAGAAGGTGACATTGAGCAAACACTTAAAGGTAGAGTAGTTAGCTGTGTGGATATCTGGAGGAAGAGCTTTCTACGAAGGGGGAATGGTGATTGCTACGGCCCTGACTAGTAGCGTGCCTAGAAGTAGTGCCTAGAATACTCAAGTAACACTGGCAAGAAGTAGGCCGAGGAGAGTGGCTGGAATGGAGTGAGTGAGAGGAAGGGGAGCAGGCGATGGAGTGAGAAAATTAACAAGGGGCCAGATTGTCTGGGACCTACTAGGTCTTTGGAAAGATGTCGGCTTTTCTCTGAGTGAAATGGAGAGCCACTGTGGGGGTTCTGAGCAGAGGAGTGGCAAGATCTGACATGTTTTTAAAGAACTACCCTGGCTTTTGTGCTGAGAATAGATTAGGAGGGACATTAGGAGAACATGCAGTAATCCAGGCAAGAGATGATGGTGCGTCGACCCAGGTGGTATCGGTGATGGTGGGGAGAAGTGGTCTGATTTTGGATATGTTTTGAAGGTAGAGCCAATGAGACTTCAGCAGTTTATACAGGGGGTGTGAGAGAGAGAGTAGTTAAGGATGACTCCAAGGTTTTTGGCCTGAGCAACTAGAAGAAAGGAGTTGCCATCAGCTGAGATGGGGAAGAAGTGCATCGTGGGTAGAGGAGGTTTTTTTGAGGGGGGAGGATTTCAGTTTTGGATATACTAGGTTTAACACACCTATTAGACATCCAAGTGGAGATCTCAAACAGGCTGTCGGATGTATAAACCTGGAGTGCAGGCGAGAGGTCTGGGCTGGAGATGTACGTGTGGGGGTTGTTGGCATATAGAGGACATTTTAAGCCACAGGACTGGGTGAGATCTCTAAGGGAGTCAGTGTAGATAAAGGAGAGAAGAACTCCAAGGACTGAGCGCTGGCGTCCTCCAACACCATGAGCTCAGAAGAGGAGAGCGAGAAGGATAGCTAGTAAGCAGGAAGACAACCAAAGGGGTGTGGTATCCTGGAAGCCAGATGAGGAGAGTGCAGGCAGCCCTCCCTTTGCACAGAAGTGCGGGACTATAAAAATGACAATCTTAATAATCATAGGAACATTTACTGTTGTTCTGTGACCTTTAAAAATTTTTGTCAAAACCCAAAAGACTCTGATGGTTATAAATTTATAGGGAAATGAAAAAATAGTAAAACTAATTTTTATTCAGTGCACTGTAATTTAAAACATCGGCAACATGGAAAATGAAAATGTTTTATTTCTTTGTAAAAAACGGCTCAAGAGTGGTTTGAACCGCGCTTGCCTTCTTCTCATCATATAACTTATGATACAGAGTGAACATCTTTTCTGTGCCTTGGTAAACTGTCAGATTCCTTTCTAAGTTTGGATCAACTTCCAACATTTTATATTTTTACTTTCAGTGCTGTGAAATGTCTTCTCGAGTTCCTTTATGACAGTGAAATATCTCAGAGTTGTTTTAATGGGCAGTATTTTCTTGGCATCTGGAATATGTTCACCTTTTCTTTACTATCCCTTTCCTCATTTATGTCAATAAGTGGCCTTCACGGAGTTCCTCTGGCTGCACATCGAGAGTCTCTTGGACGGCAGCCGTGTCAGCATTCCCACAGTCGGCTCTTTCTTCTCTAACTCCATTATGTTTGATTCGAATTTCACTTCTAGAGTTATCACTTTTTGTTTCTTTGCCGCACTTGCATCTTTGTTGGCCAGTTCCCTCATTCAGTTATCCATTTTTATAAAATGTCATGTGAGTTTATCACTGAGAGACAAGGAGGCAACATAGTTACACACTTTGCTTTCTCTGTGTGAACTGAAAAACAGACGCCCACGACCAATCACCAACAGACTTGAAGGAAGTGTTACGACTGTCACGGATTGTGATGCACGTCTGTTACTGATGTAGAGGGTAGTGGACCGAAAACCTGACAGTGAATTTGTACTTGATGCAATTACTCACGGGTAATCAACTGTGGTAACTGAAGTTTGAACCATGTTGTTGAGGGACTGGGTTATTTAACCAAACGGTGGTAACTGAAATTCATGCACGTCGGAACTGTGCCAAGCGAGAAGTGCCTGTATATCAAGGAAGACAGAATGGGGCATTGTGTCAAATGGGGATTTAGCAATGTAGGGGGCGTTGGGGACCCTAATGAGGAGTTTCAGTGGAATGGGAGGGTAGGAAAATCTGATGGGAGTGGATTTAAGAGAGAATGGGGGACTGGCCCAGTGGCGCAGTGGTTGAGTTTGCGCACTCCGCTTCGGCCCCCAGGGTTCGCCAGTTCAGATCCTGGGTGCGGACCTACTCACAGCTCATCAAACCATACTGAGGCGGCATCCCATATAGAAGAGCTACAACTCTAGAACTATGATACAGAACTATGTACGGAGGCTTTAGGGAGAAAAAAGAAAAAAAAAATTGGCAACAGATGTGAGCGCAGGGCCAATCTTCCTCAAAAAAAAAAAAGAGAATGGGAGGAGAGGAATTCGAGATCAGAAGTATGTATCGACAACTCTTTTGAGGAAGTTTGGTGCAAAAGGGAGCAGAAAAATGGGGCAGCAGCTGGCAGAGAAAGTGGAGTTAAGAGAAGGGTTTTTTGTTTATTTGTTTTTAAGATAGAATAAATAACAGCATATTTTTATGTAAGTAGGAATGATTCTGTAGAGAGGGAAATGTTGATAAATGTGTGAGAGAGAGGGGAGATTTGTGGCCTATGTGAGAGAGAATGGAGTTTAGTACACAAATGGAGGAATGGCTTTAGATAGAAGCACCAGTCATTCATCTCGGGCAGTAGTTCTCAAACTGTTTGATCTCAGGACACCTTTATACTCCTAAAAATTATCGAGGACCTCCAAGGGTTTTTGTTTAGGTAGTTTATATCTATTGATATTTACCATGTTAGAAATTATATGTGAGACATTTAAAAATATTTATTAATGTTCTCAAAAGCAATAATAAACTCATTTCATGTTAATACAAATAATATCACTTTCATGAAAAATAACTATTTTTTCCGAAACAAAAAAATTTAGTGAGAAGAGTGGCATTGTTTTACATTTTTCAAATCTCTCTAATGGCTGACTTTATTAATAGAAGACAGCTGGATTTTCATCTGCTTCTATACTGAGCCTTCTGCAATATCATTCATCATGTAACTTTTGGAAAACTCTACTGTGCATTTGTGAGAAAATAAAAGTGAGAAAGCAAAGAAGGATTTAGTATTATTATGAGAATAGTTTTGACTGTAAGACCCCCAAAGAGTCTCGGGAACCTCCAGGGGTCCTGGGATTTCTCTTTGAAACCTTGATCTGTGGTAACAGGCAGGAAGGCAGAGTGTGTGGGTACAGATGCTGGTAGGGGTGGATGTGGCTGAGGGGTCCTGCTGATTGTTTCATTGTTTTCAGTGTAGTAGTGCAGTGGGAAGAATGAGACGGGAGATGTTGGAAGTTTGCAGTGGGAAGAATGAGACGGGAGATGTTGAAAGTTTGCAGTGGGAAGAATGAGACGGGAGATGTTGGAAGTTTCAGGAGAGAGGAAACGTTGTGAAATGCTCTATTCTATTGACTATGTAAATTAAATAAAATGAATAGAGAAATAAAATGAAAATAAATACAGATTATATCTACTAAGAAATAAAAACCAACAATTATAATTGATACCATCAATTAAAAAATGCATCCTGATTCCAGAGATGTAAAAAATGTTGTCTCAGGACTGATTAAATATGGCCAGTGTCTCAGAAAGTGGGAGGACGAATGGACTAGAGAAGCATAATTTGGTGGCTGGGCAGCATTAAGTGCTGAGTTGAGATTCGTGGTCATACATTTAATTCATGTACTTCTCATAAGTTTTTTTCCTGTAATTTTCCCCCATGTGTGCAAATACCAGCAACACTGGAAAGCTGCTTGCTTTGGCATACTACCAGTAGAATCTTTTTTTTTTTTCCCTGACTTAGTTATGAGGAAAAGATAGCACTATGGCACTTAGAATAAGATACCAATAAAACAAAGAGAAATTCAAGTTCTGGGTTAAGAGATCCACTGCTATTCTTATTTTGATCCTCACCTTCCCTCTCTTGTAATGGGTCAGAAGATGACTGAGAGAAAATGCTCAAAGATGATGTGGATCCAAGGGTCATGCCTTCCATCTTCTAGCCATTCTGTCTTTGGCTTCTAACTCCTCCCCTCTGGTAAGAATCCCACTCTAAGGAAATACAAATCCTTTATTTGACTAATCATTTCTAAGATTAATGAAAGAGGATCCCAAGTACTTGTCAGGCCTAAGTACTTTTTATATCAAGTGTCAATTACAGGATGATGAAATTTGGGGTTAGCTGTTTTCTTTCTCTGAGCCAGAAAATTAAAATAGTGCATGAGTAATTGAGTATTGACTTCATCTGAAGTTCTTTTGGGTCCTCATTGTAATATATTGAACTCAGGCTTTCAGATAACAAATGGTCATAAATCCAGCCCTCTCCGTGGAGTCTACGGATGTGAGCAGCATAAACACACGCATGGGTTCATATATATTATTCTTGTTCTGTT